TTAGTCACTTACTGGTTGCAGTACCCCACCCGGTAGCAGCGAGTGCAGCGCTTCACCTTCTCTTCCTGAGACTGGGGAGGCTTCTGGCAGGCAGCGCACTTAGCGATAGGGATACTGGGGACAAGCGGTCTCTACAAAGTCAAGACAGACAGGAGAAGAGCACTGACCACAGTTCCGTGTTAGAGCACGATCTAAAACAAAACCCTTATATATTTAGCACAATGTAAGTGACGATTTAGGCATCAATGTTTAAATCGGACCCTTGTCAGATTGAATTCAGCAGTTCTGATGGCGCTACGTACCTGCTGGACCTGCAAAACAAGCACTTTCTCCTTAGCCAGCTCCTTAGACAGCACCTCAAAGCAAAAGAGTGTGTCTGAAGGGGACACAGCATCTAGAGAGTGCGAGGGCAGGAAGATTCTGTGAAATCGGCTCTTGATGACCTGCAACAGAGAAGAAGCCTTCACTATAAGAACAAGAAGATGTATATCAATTAAGTACCTTATTTATAAAGTACATATAGATTACTAGGCACTACAGTGGACTTCTCTCCATTCCTTTTGAAGATGGATTATTTCAGCATTTGCCTTTAATGCTGAAAGACTGCAAACAATGACAGATTTAAAGGACCAGGCACATACACCATTACAAAGGTATATAAGATGAAGATGAATCATTGATACAGGAATTAGTTGTATAGTAACTGCAAACTGAAACTCATGCAGTAGTGATCATACCTCAGCCAGCCGCAGGTTCTCAGGTTTGACGCGCACACTTCTGGAAATGGACTCCAGAACTTCGGCTGTGCTGGAATTCTCCTTACTAACACTCACAAGAAACTGACACACACGAACAGAGAAAGAGCCAGAGAAAGAGAGAAAGACCCAATCATTATCTGAAAGCATCACACTGGCACCCACAGGCAGTACAGCTCATGGCATAGGAAAAACGGTCATGACGATAATAAGCTAATGTCCCAGCTTTCCTAGAAAAACAGACGTGAAAATATAAAAGAAAACAAGTCACATTAGAAATAATACACACAGCATTAACTCTGTCCTAGCTTCAATCCAATTGCTCAAAACTAGTGAAAAATCTTAATGATTTAAGCACACTGGGGACATGATGTAAACAAGCAACAACGGTACAGTAATTGTTTACAAAGCAAACAATCCCAAAACAAAAAACTTGTTTTGCTTTCACTGGCTTTACCTTAACAGGCTTTTTATGAGGTTCCTTCCCAAAATAAAAAACAGTGAGGACCTTCTGTTTTTGAGGCAATGGAACTGGGAGGTACAGGAAGGGGTCAAAAGTTATAGAAACCTGGGAGAAAAAGAAATACAGATGAACCGATACCGCGTAAGACATATAATACAGAGTAAAGTAAAATTTTAAACTTACTCTAGATTTAATTGTGTTTATAGTGCAGGTAAACGGTTATTTGGATATTTTCTATGATTTTCTAATACATACATTTTTAAAAAATTTGGATAAATAATTTTTGCAATGTTTGTGCTCCAATTAATTAATTATGTCAATATGTTCATGCAAGTGCAACTGAACAAACCAGCCCATACCATTTCTGTTTAAAGCCGGGACCTTAATTGTGACTTAGTTTTCCTACTGAGTCCAGAAGTACTTCGTTTACTCAGCTGGAAAAGTTGTTATTAACAGATGTAAAAATACTTTCAATAAAGAAGTTCTTCACAACACATTTTTTTAAATAAATATTATTTCATTGAAAGTCTTTTTACATCTGTGAACACTTTATGATACACTTAAATTTGACTAAATTCCAACTCATTTAAAAAGAGAAAGGGGATGATTAAAAACAACAAAAAGTGATTACAAGACTTCTTTAAAACGTCATTGGGGTTTACCAATCTTGGAACACATTTCAAAAGGACTACATTAGGCTCACCTTTGAGCAGACAGGGCAGACCAGTTTGGATTTGTACTGTCCCTGGAAAAGGTCCACAATGAAGGAATCATTCCTCATCTTGTGTCGCTGCCAAGCCTCCTCTGCCACAACCTGTCACCAAAAGTAAACACGGAGCTGACTCAACAGGACAAACCATAATGCTGGAGGCACTGGAGGCACAAGTTCATTATTTTGTCTGAGCATTCCCTGCCTGTGCATCAATCAAAACGCCCAGTGAACGTGTTCAGAAGAATCAGGTGATGCCAAGGAACAGAACATACAAACACAGGGGAACAGCTTGTTCACAGTCCACTGAAGGGTGAGCTGCTTCAAAGACCATCACTGAGCGTGCAATTTGGCCAGTCTGTTTTAACAGGTTCTTCCTTAAGTGAGGATTTGTTATTTTACACCCATATTTTGCACCCATATCTATCCTCTGAAAATGCATAAAAAGAGCAAGTTATATAGTTTGTGAGTCTTCAGTCATTTGATTTCTCACCTCATCCTGCCTCCCATCTGAATCCACAGTCTCAGTGTAGGGTTTGTTCTGGATCCTGTTCAGGTCTTCATGGAGGCCATCCAATAAGAACGCCATGAACTCCTGCGCATCATGCTGTGCGTATCCTGTGAACTGGCTGGCCTTGCTTGCCACAATCGCCTACAGGAAGCAAATTAACAAAGAAATGGGAGAGGTATTCATATCAAGCTGCCACTAATAATAAACACTTTCCAAGATTCCCAAAATACTACTTTCAGCAAGTGTCATTTCAGATTAAGGTATGTTATTCTCCCAAAAGATAGAATAAGAAGTCGACACTGGCCTGAAAAAATAAAAAAAAAACAATCTCTGGTTGTAACCTGCTGGAGGCTTATTGCTTATCAGTACTTAAAAATGCTTATGATTTTAAAGAATAAAAACATATTAATCCTTTCATTCTAAACAAGCACAACAGGAGCCTGAAGATAAAAACATCATTTTGAACTGGCCTGTCAATTTGCGCACAACTGAATACATACTGTACAACCATGTAGAAATGACAAAAAACATGGCAATATTATACAGTGAAGTTTGGACCTTTTTTTGTAGTAAGGACATTTAACAGTAGTTTTAAACAAGGCCTTTTAATTTTATTTTATCGTGTTCAAGACAGTTCACCTTTAAATTTATGAGGGGTGTAGGTGTCTTAATGAAACATGTGCCTACTACACAGCTATGTTAATACTGCATGTGGGAGCTCATCAAACTTATTTTCTTTTTTTAAATAGAAATGAAATGTGTCAGTTTATTCGTTTCCTTCCTGTTCGGAGGCACCTTGAGTTTGGAGGGCTGGAACGCATGGTGGGTCCCTTTCCATAATGCTCGCAGTAGCACCGCAAACCCTATTGCGAGACGTCCTCCGGTCCCTAGGGGGTTGCTGCAGTTTATTTCTGTCTCAAAAGCTCGGTCTGTGAAATAGCACAAATAAAGAAGCATTTACTTACCATAAGAACATGACTGTGAAGACACCCTCAGACATTCCCAATAAAAATGACTATGAAAAACCACTTTTCTGGTTTGCTATATCTGATATACTATATTTATACCAAAACATGGAACATGTAAACCAAGAAGACCATTCCTTGACTCGGTATTGGCAATCTCACTCACCATGAAAGTAGTCCCGTAGTTCTCTGGTGTTGGAGAGGGACTGGATGACACTGTTCATGAAGCAGGTGTTGCCCAGGTTGACCAGTCCTGTGAAACCAGGCAGACAAACCTTCTTCTCCTCTTCCTCAGCGGTGTGCTCACTGCCAGCAGATGCATGAGTCATTGGTGGCACCATGCAGGTTGGTTTGGGCTGTGAGGGGAAAAAAAAAAGAGCCAGCCTTCAGAAACAGCGTACCAGTCCACTCTAACCTGAGCTTTTTCACTACTTGCCATTCCTACTAAAGCACACTGCAGCACGCTAGAGCAAAAATGTTACTAGCCAACTTTGAGGAGCTACAAGCAGTGGTGTAGCCAGAACCTTAATCTTCGGGTGGGCTTAAGGATGGTTTAGAAGAGCAACACAAAAGGTATAAACTATAAAACAAAGTCATGACATCTTCTTTAGAATAATGCAATCAAGAATCAAGAGTAAAGACCCAGAGTTTTTAAAATGTACTTTAAGACTAGTTAACTAATATTGCCAACATTGAATAGAAAACTGTTCTGATCCTGGAGAGTCTTTTTCAGTGATAAGCTTACCAGAAAAAAACAGCACCTTCAAACCATTCTTGTAAAGAAAATAATATTGATTAAATATTGCCATACTGTACAGAAACAAGAAGAGGTAATGTATAAATGTCAAAAACAGATGTTTTGGCTATGGAGACTTCTTCAGATATAACAGCTCTCACAAGCGTGTTATTAACACCTAATTTAATCTATCAACATTTTTAAGGCTCTCCACCATTATAACTGATAGTAATAGTGCTGTATTGTGTAATTAAAATCAAAATGGGCAAAGCCGTAAGGCTTAAACTCAAGCCTTATTTTATTAGATTAGTTATGTTTCTAAGGACATACGTTACACTTAATAAATTGGCTCAAATATCTGCAGTTGATTGCAGCAGCCTGCCTTTCTGTTCCTACAGGTAACTGAAGGAGAATTTCTAGAGTGGCCAGTAGGGTTTATATAAGTATATGCAATACATCTTAGCTATATGTAGTACATTTGGTTTCTTGCCTTCACTCCTAAACTCCAAGCAACAATGGAATCTGCAGTCTTTTTTCAATGATTATATCAAAACAAAGCACGGGCACACAGAATCGCTGGTGATTATTTTTAAGATGAGCTATATGGCTGCCATGGAAACCAGTCTGGTCGTAACTCAGGGAATGCACACCATGAGTTGATTACTCAATGTTCGCTTTCATGCTGTGACAAGAACTACGGGAGTGACAGAATAAAATGGACGAAGAGGCATTTGGAAGCGAACTGCATCCCGAATCAAAAACACATTCATGAGCATTCTTCTGTGATTCCAGAAAGTCAGCAGCCACATTCTTCCCAAAGGCCAGGCGCTCTTGATCACGTTATAGAAAGTTTGGCACCCCCTCCTAACAAGTCCATTTTCAAGACCAGATACTTTTCAATACTCATTTTTATATCGCTTTTCCAGGTAATATACCAGAACATACCACTCCACTTACTGAAGTAACCAGGGGCTCTTGCTTTATGGGAACATGTTCAGGTACAGTTCGGTCTCCTACAGTATCCAAGGCACTGTCCTCTGCACGGGTTTTATCCTTCTCTGCAGTCCTGGGCTCTTCTTTGCTTGGCAGCGCGTGCTGGCTACTCCCTGGCTGGCTCTTATCAAGTGAGGCAGGCCCAGTGGGCACAGCAACCTTGGCACCACCCACTGCACCTTAAAAAAAGCACAATGAAGCTTGTGTTTAGCAGCATATTTTCTTCTCCGACAAGAAACACACCAAGAGCTTTCTCCAAAGTGGTGTTTACAAGGAAAAGGTGATATACTGTATAGAAGAGGAAACGAACGGGCAAGGGGCAAGTCCTGGGATGTGCATAATCAACGCTTTTAATTAAATCTGAAATTTGAAGAAAATCATTTTAGTTATTTATGCTAATTATTTATTATTAATCGTTCAGAAGTACATTAAGTAATTTAGAATTCACTAAAGAATTATTTATTCATTCAGTCACCCAGTCCCAAAATTAATTTCAATATTAACACCTTTCTCTGTTGTATCAAAGAAAAACAAATTCAGAAACATGTTAGGTACATTCAGGGTGTATAAAACACCTCTTAGGGGCTCTGAATTATATATATTTTCCCTTTGTCCATCAGACAAAGTGCCTTTATTTTCTCACACTCCCGATATCAAACATGTTTTTCAGTTTGGAGTTTTGTTGCATTTGCTGTAAGGCACTCCAAAAGACAATGGATTAACCTGGTGAAACTCACCAAGCACAACATATAAAACTGTACTGCTTTATGCCTGTTTGGGATTAATCAAGGTGTAGCTGAGCCCCAGTGGAAATGCCTTAATCTCAGGTAGTCCAGCTGAGTCCAAGTAGTTCACTAATGTATTATATTGTATGTATTGTGTCTATTCCAAAATAAGCTACTTGAAACAATACATTAGTGAACTCTACAGTTTGGTGTGTCATTAGCCCCTTCAGAGCAAATAGGAAATCCCATGACAAAAAAACATTAAACAAATCAGCCAGTAAGGAGAAAATAGGCAGAGGAAAGGGAACAGGCTCCAGACCATGTATAGGCCAAGATGCAGACCTTGTGTTGCAGGTGCCTCCAGGCCTCCCCAGCGTTGACTGTGTCTCTTCTTCAGGGTAATGTCAATCCGGGATGGGGTGAAAGCATAAGTGCACTGGTCGGGGTGGATAAGATTCCTGCAGAAACAGAGAATATCTATGCTTTTGCACATGAACGGGTACACAGCTTTAAAATGAAAGCAACCATAAATAAAAGCAATGATGTGTTCTATTAGTGTTCCTAACTGGCATTAATGCATATGTGGCTAGGGTCTACTGTTTCCCTTTACAGAATAAAGAATTAAAAATTCAACAATTAAAGAAATTCTATCCTCATTCTGAAGACACTGTGCACCTGGAAGAAGGAAGGTGAATTATGAATATCTCCAAATAAAAACTTCAATATGTGATTTATCTAAGAGGGAAATCTATACCTACTAACCTACCTTCTATTCATTACATGTTGTGTTTTTTCAGCATGTCTGTTAAACTGAGCAGAGGAATGATATATGATGATTGTTTAAGCACTGGAAGTATATTAAAAAATAATAACTTGTCAAAATGCAATATACTTCAGTATAACAGAAACAAAAAGAACACTCTCAAATATGCAGCTATATAAAGCACTGGGATACACAGATCTTATGGAACAAGGGCAGTAAATAATGTCAAGTCACCTCACCTGAGTTTTACCTGCCATTTAAAGACAGTGTTTGGTCCACAGCCCGGTTGTAGCCGCAAAAAACTTGGGTCACTTAAGAAGAAAAAAAACACAGCAGTTAGTACATGAAAACAAATATTTCCTATTGTTCTGTATTTTAAAAGAGCAATGAATATGCCAATAATTTAAAAAATAACATTAAAATCCCCAACATATAGTAGATATTTTATCAGAACACTACTTTGGACCTATTCACTGAAAGAGGAAGTAAAAAGGTCCTAAATATAGTGTACCTGTACAAAGTAGCCAGTGATTAAGCTCAAGCAAATTCATTTCTTTCTCATTAAAACGTGAGAGTAGTAGTGCTTACACTTAAGCTATCAAGGAAAATGTTCACTGTCTTAAAAAAGCGGTTTCCAACCCTGGTCCTTGAGAAACATTGTCTGATGGTTTTTGCTTCAGATGAGTTCTTATTCACATTCTAGTTTATTTCAGTTTTCTATTTGTAAATACGTTTTTAGATTTTAAAAGATCAAAAGTGATTTGTAAAAGATATCAACCTGTTCCAAGTTTCAAATCTACCCTCATTGAAGTATGCGGTCTGAAATCAAATTGTGGGGAGTGGGGAGTGTCTGATACACTTTTCATTCCCACCTGTGTCTATTAATCATAAATTGATCTACTGGCAAGAGCTGTTTAGTCAGAAATAAAGGCAGCATAACAAAGGCATAAAAGGCAGAGGTGGGGCAGAATAACTTTGTATATGCTGAATTTAACAGTAAACAGTACTCTTAAACCAGGGTATTTAACATCTCGCACTGGTCAAAGAAAGAAGGAAGAAGTTAAATAAAAGTCTAAAAGTCAAGCTGGTCAATTAAGGCATCTATTAGCTTTGGAGATTGAGAGCTTAGCTGTAATCAAACCTGCAGGTAGTATTCCTTCAGAACCAAGGACCATGTACTGAACTACTGCATGCAAGAAGCTTACAGGAAATTCAAATAAGTTTTATGGCGAGTGATCTTAAGGAGAATATATGGATTCAGTTGGAAGATATGACTGACGTTCAATCTGAATACAACAGTTCTTGGAAGAAGAGGTTGAAATACTCTGGTGTAAGGTATTTCAGAGATTATTTTGTAAAATGCCTTCACTGAGACAAAATGATGTCTGAGAAACATGTCTCAAGTCATAAAAGTGACAAAAAAACAGGTCAGTGATCACCTTGTCTGGAAGATGAGAGTGAAATCCTGCTCCCGGAAAAGTACCTTCACTGTTTCCCTATGGATCCCTTTCAGGTAGACATTAACTACCATGAAGTCATTCCCTTTCTCATACGAGTCATTCTTCACAAATGTCAGATTCACCATGGGCTCCAAGACTAGAGTGTAAAATAAGAGGTTAAATTAAAATAAATACAATTAACCACCACTCAAATCTGTAAAGGAACAAGCATGAAGGTTCCTAGCTATTCCTCCCAGAGATTTACAATGCAGACCACCTGAGACTGTGCTTAATTTTACAACTAGCTGGAAGCGCTATGGAATTCCAACCCAGTAAAGAAGTAATATTGTAGGCCTTCTCACGCTATGGTTTTCCAATGCATTTTACTGCTTGGACTTTCTTATAAGAAGCATTGTATTACTTGTATTGTATCGGAATATTATCCCATAAAACTAAAACACAACACAACAATGGATTAAAGGGATTAAAATACAGTATGGTCTTATAATAAAGAGAATATTAATTACCTTCTGCCTGGTTTTCCAAGGTCTCCTCCTTGCACCTGTCTCTCTTTTCCTCAGTGCTCGTTCCAGAGGCACCTGCCTCCTCAGTCAAGGCGATTGAGGCAGGCTCCCCAGCGCCCACATGATCAAGCCCAACCATTCCTAACTCAGGGACCCTTTTCTCTACCTCGGGGATCATGGCTGTCTCTCTGTCCACTTGCACTGCTGGCTCAACAGTCCCGTCCAAGGAATCTGACTTCTCACTGTCCCCACTGGAGCAGGGTACTGTGGGAGGATTTAGAGTTCCACCTGAAGGAGGCCCCAGAACGTCCGAGCCGATTTCAGTGACCACAGACTGGCCTCTCCTTTCTTCTAGCACCACCGCCTTCAACACAAGAAACTAACGTTACACCTGTAATGCAGGAGCACCACCTCAACTTTATACAGACAGTACTCATATGAGGCTGACAGTCTCCAATCTGATAGAAATTCTCAGATCAAAGAAAGCAAAGATCTACGAATGTTTTGCTTTACCTTGCTGACTAAAAATAATCTCCAACTTTTGTAAATCACATAAAACGCTCCACTGCACCAGGAAGCAAAGGTTGGTGGATCAAAAGTTGTTATGCCCCACACCAAGTCCCTAGTGGCTACACAAGAGAGCCACCACAATTTGGCTTGGAGATCCCCAGCTAACAAACATGTGTAACTCCAAGGTGTTACAAAGAGAAGCCAAAGGCAGTGGGTGCCACACTTGCCCTTTTGTTAGCATTAAGAGTCTGTCACAAGTGGCTTGACAATAAATATCTGAAAGAGTAAGTGTGGATGTTTGTTTTGTGTCTGTGCACTAAGATAAATCTAGATCTTTACACTGGGATATAAGCCGGGAAAAATAAAAAGGCTTATTCAGAAATTAAATAAGAAAGTGCAGCAACAAAACAAATCTACAGTATGATTTGTTGTCGTCACTCAACTTAAGTATTTTTCAGAGCGGAATAGTGACAGGGAAAGTGAAAACTAAGACTTCTGCTCACAGATAGACTTATGATGTATAATTAAATTAGATGTCTTGATGAAGACTGCCAATCTGCTTTATTCAATAAGACGAACTGAGCTTTTAAGGTCTGTGTGTAGGTATGTGCGCTGATTTTGTCACAAGCTCACCTGAGACTTCCCCATGTGCTGGCTGTCTGCCCTCCTCTCCTGCAGCAGAGCTGCCGGAGGTCCCCGGTCACTCCTTTTGTGCCTGCTCCTGCCATTGCAGCTAAGGGGACACGCAGCTTCCGAGCTGGTCTCAGTTTGGGATTTTTCAGATCCCTTGGCAGGGGAGTCCCTTCCAGAACTAAGCCCCGGGTCTTTAGCAGTTTTTACGGTGCAGAATGTCCGTTTAGCACTGGGTTCAGCCGGTGGCTCCGTCTTCTCGGTGGGCTTTGCTGCCTCTGGCATCTTTGCCCCCAGATCGCTCTTTTCGGAAGGTTTTGCCTTTATTGCACGTTTCAATCCCCGCTCTACTTTTGCACGTTTCTGTTCCATTGACTCCACAGGAGCCTTTCCCATTTCCGCATCCAGTTTCTCTACCTTTGGGGGAAGCTGTTTACCACTCTCTGTCTGGATCTGAACTGGATCTTTATTCTTCTTGCTCCGCTTAAAATTAAAAAGAAGAGTAGACTTAAATGAATTTATTCTCTAGTCTGGAGCACTGCAGCAAATTTCATTTAGAGGTGTTAACTAATATGGGATATGGGATACATGTTTTAATTCTGTTTAATCCAAACAAATCACGGGATGTAGGCTTTGAATATTAAATACTTTATGAAAATATACAGGATTGCATTGTTTAGTTTCATATCACATTTAACAAACTTTTAACATGTTGCAAATGCAGACTCATTTTTGTGGCACAATAAATATTTGGCAATGCTCCTCAGCAGAAAACATGCTTCCCCTGTTGAAACAATAATAAAAGCTTGCCTTCTTAATTCCTGGCAACTCTAATGATGATTAATAACTATTCATAATGTATTATAATGGACTTATTAATAATCAAGCATTAATAACTATTAATACCCACTAAAGGAAGGCATGTATTCTCTTACCATCAGAGACGGCCAGGCATTGAAAGGGATCTTCTTCTGCATGACTAACTGCAGGAAGCTGCCTTTCTCCTTGTACTGCACCTTACTACATGAACTCTCAATCTCAGCATGGAGATGACAGCTCCACAGGCGTCCATCTAAACACAAACAGGCAGTCTCACAAACCCGCACGTACACAGTACCTCATAGTTCAAAAAAGGTCCTTAGTCAGATCTCTTCTTCCTGAACATTGTGTCACTTTTGTTTTACGAAAACACACATATGTTTAAACCTATTCCATACTCAACCACTCTATATCTATGACAACTATTGGCTTTGAGGAATATATAAAAATGAGACCTTATCTGTATCCATTTACAGGGAAGACCAAAGGTAAATAATTTGATTACTCCCTTTTGAAATAATCTGACATTTTGTTAAGCCTACCTCTTCTCCATACCTATGTAGATATAGCTTTACAAATCACAGGTAAAGGGTAAAGGTTGGTTAAACAGCGAGTTCTGGTTTCTTGCTCCCCTGAGGCTGCGCATTACAGTTAAAAAAAAAAAGTTACCTGGGAACTTGACCTGACAGGCTGTATCAGAGAACCCTGCATCCACATCCTCCACCTTCATAACTCCCTCTCCTGGCTTCAGCTTCACAATGACCTCATTGGCATTCTGCTTCCAGTCATAGAACACATCTAGAAAGCAGACAAAGAAACCAGTGATTTAAAGACCAATGAAGCTGTAGTTGAGTTTTTTCAAATTTCTAGGCCAAAATTCAAAAATAAACTTTGGCTAAACTTCAGCATGCATTTTAACAATATCACAGACCTATACCCAGATTATTAACAAAAGCTTACAGTTACATAATATGCTCACACACATATTTGAAAATATTGTACATCTGAAGCAGAAAAAATAGGAATTCATAGTCAGACCTTTTTTATTTGAATACCACATCTTACCATATTAAGGAAAGTAAGCAAAGAGCAGTCCATATTGTAAAAAGTATTCCAAGAAAAATAACTAAACTGAGATTGTAAATAAAAGAAACCAGTTACAAAATGCCAGTTTAAACTTCCTTCATGTTATTTTTATTTTTAGCAATTTCCAGTTTGATTAATTTTATCCTATACATTTAACAATTATATTTTAACATTTTGTCAAGAAATCTACACATGAAGAAAACCAGAGTGCAAATGTGCAAAGATAGCACATTTAACTCTAAGTCACTGAATGTCTCCATGATCCCAAAAATATCTGAGAATTACAGCGATTGTAAGCCAACTGGCAAAGCAATTATTATAAAATTCCAGTGTCATTCCTAAATACCATATTAGGGGTTATGTCATTCACTAGTCACTTGAAATGTTGAACATGATTTCGATGGTGCATACTTTCTCCTGCAGTGTTTCAGCTATGCAGTGGGCCTTATTAGGTAAGCTAAACTAAACAGTGATTTTTTTTCTGTTACTATTCAAGAGACCACCTAAAAAGTCCACCAATTAAAAAAGCAGGTCTTAAAATAAATGAAGACTTTTTAATGTAAAAATATTAATGTAAATTTTACAACTTTATAAGCTTTAACATTCTCTGTGTAAACCAAATCAAATGCTGATGAGTAGTCAGAACTAGAGGTCTGCTACCCGGCTCCGACGGGGCCCAACAAAGTATTGGGTTTCGGGCCGGGTTCGGGTCGGTTTTTCACGAACAACTTCGGGCTCGGTCTGGGTTCGGGTTCGTTTTCTAATAAGTGAAAATGAATTAGGGAATTATGGAATAAATTATTATTATTTTATGTTTTACATTTATTTTTATTAGAAGAAATTCGTAACTCATTTGGCGCGCTCTCTCGTATGTGTGTAACAGAGCCTACCTAGCCAACTGTTCGCAATGTATGAAATAAAACGAAAACTCAAAAAGGGAGAAACCGCTCAAAATGCCGAAAGAGTCGGGAAAGGCTTCGTAATGGAAACATTACGACCTCAACAACGCGGAATGTAGCTAAAATAAAACAATTAATGCCTGCGCGCATATTCACTTTGCATAGCGCTAGGTTTTTTAGTAGGTCTATTACGGTTATCAGCCGTTCCCCACTTCAGAACTATTACAGATTTATAAAATACCAGCTTTTCTCAGCGTACGACACTGTCTATCAATTCAAGCGGATAGCAGCCGAGCACAGCATTGTAAAACTGCGTCAGTGAGAACGAAAAGAGAGTGACCGCTTTCGGGTTCGGGTTTCAAATTTAGCAGTACCATCCGGGCCGGGTTCGGGCTTCAATTTCTGACCTCTAGTCAGAACTCTTGAATTGAAAATTACATTAATTAAGCGGCTACCAAAATCATTAGAAACTACAGTCGTATACATATGTATAAACATATAAAATGCAACATAAAATTTAGAAAAACCTTAAAAGTATTCCATTAAGTCAAACACTTGGAAGCATTCTTTAAAAAAAAATGTATTTTATCTTCTGTCATACCGCACTTGGCCTGAGGATTGCTGACAACGCAAGCTACAATTAGTACTTCAGTCTCATTTCAACTGCTATCAACAGGAATCACATACTGCAAACAGAGTGTGTTGTGTGTTGGAAAGCTCTGTAGAAAGACGGCACTGCACAACCAGAAAAACTTTCCTACAAAGTCTCCCATAAAGTCTGCATTTAATGATCAAAAGCAACACATAACCCTTGGCTCCAGCACTATACTGTATTGTGCCACTGCCATTCACACCCATCATGAAATAAGTAAGGACAGACATACAATTATTTAATTTAAGATGCATGGTACAGTACAGCACAGCACATTAGAACAGTAGGAAATATAATGTGGCATGTGGCATACATGTGGCAGTTGTGGACTGCGATACAAGAAAGTTTCAAAATCCACATAATCCAGAAAATCAAGAGGGGTACAAAAAATTTAGTAAAGCCCTAGTGCAAAGCCTAGAAAGCTCTCTGGCCTTGACAAAGCAGCTTTCGCAGCATGATTGTACACAGGCTAACATTTCTGCAGTTCAGCACATGGAAAAAAGGAGAGAAGATCATGACATTTGGACACACTCAAGTGACACTCCAGTCAGTCATTTGACCCAGAGGTATTTCATCCTTTCTGGACATGTGAGCACAGGACAGTTGTATGACTTCATAATGCCAAACAGCCTCATATTGTTCCTGCATGCATAATTTATATCCACACTTCCACTCGCGCAAGACTAAAGGTGTTTTTGTACATTACATTAAGAATAGGTTATTCGGTATTATAAGTGTTCCCCATAACGGGGAACACTTATAATACTTCACCCTGCGGTCTATGTGGGTCCTCAGTATAGCTCCTCCCCACTGATAGCTGATGTGTGGTGAGCGTTCTGGCGCACTATGGCTGCCGTCGCATCATCCAGGTGGATGCTGCACATTGGTGGTGGTGGAGGGGATCCCCATTACCTGTAAAGCGCTTTGAGTGGAGTGTCCAGAAAAGCGCTCTATAAGTGTAAGCAATTATTATTATTAATTATAACACCTTCAGTCCATCTCACAAAGGATGACCTTTGATAACATCTATCGGAGATCAAAATTAAATTTCCTGCTGTCCCAGTCAAAATGATAAGGTTATGGAGCTCAAGCAAATCAGCATTGGCCAATTTCACACCTCTCAAAGCCTGAACTTGCCACAGTTTCTCCTAACTCCACTTCAAACAATATCTCCTCATTTGTAGGAGGACTGACATACACAGCAGACCTCTGGAGACGTGGTGCCTGCTGGTACACTACTTCATCTCCAAGCGACAACATGGCTTTGTTTTTAGAGGCTTTGCACTGTTTAGATCTTTACTGGGTTAGCAGCACATCTGCTCCATTTATCCATCACTAAATACCATAATAATAATGACATTACAGTGCTCCTTAAACAAAGGGATTCTATGCTCTTAAATTACCCTCATGTTGCTTCTTGTATTTTGCATAACATGGATATTACCCACACCTTTGTTAAAGAAAAGTGTCAGTTACACTTTTTACACTAAAAAGACACATTAAACCTGCCCACCCATATTTAGCCAGCTGACTATTGTACAGCACTCTCCTACATGAAAATTCTGAATACATTTACAAAGCCAATTATATTTTATGTAATGTAAGAGAGACCCTGAATATATGGTCATCATGGACTCATGTGGTGTAAAACAATTACCTGTTTTAGATCATCCACCCTCTGGGTTAATCTGTGTTTCTTATAATATTACTATTGGGTTTTCAATGTGTCTTTTCAGAAAGTAAAAAGTCAGAATGCCTCAGGATTTCACGCATCATTAAAGCCACAAGCATTTTCCAGCTTGAACAACAAACGGAAGCAAAAGCAGTTCCAAGGCATTCTGATCAAACAGTTCTGTGTGTAATCATCCTTTTCCATCAAAAGAAATTGCTTGCGTCTAAGGCACAATTCATAAAGGCAAATTATAGACTTGTGTGATCTCAGCTTCATATTTTATTACTCTTCAAACTTTGTTAGTAATAACAGCCTCTCTGTAGCTCAGATCTACCACAAGAACCACACACAGCAAGATTATAATCTGTTAATACAGGACCCATTGCAGTACAGAAACCATAACACGTAGCAACTTACCATCAAAATTTGTTTCATCAAGTGACTCTTGAGAGCATGACAGCTCTAACAATTGAGAAAGAGAAAAGGGATTCTAAAATACAGTTTATGGAACCCTATCATGTGACACCTAAAGAGAAGGCCATTTTAAGTTTCTTATTAAACCTAATCCATACTTTTTACTAGCATTACAAATAATGTATTTTTCCCCCCACTATATGCCAAATAATATTTATTAATAAGGAGAAATTTCTTATTTTCAGCAAAAGAGTTAACTGCATAATTGGAAATTATTTTAAACAGAACCTGCAGACCTAAAAGCAATAATAAAATGATGCCCATTACTCTTACAAGGATATTCAAGTAATAAAGTACATGATATAATTGTTTAAATTCAAGACTATTGAACTACAGGCAAATGGGTAAAAGATGCATATTTCTTTTGTTCCAGGAAGCTGTGTATCACATTTAGGATACACAAGAATAATTGGGCACCATTATTGACATTGGGTTCGGACAACTAGATCTTTGGGACTTCGACTGATGCACTGATAAAGTCAGACGGTGACTTTTAGCAAATACAAGATGAGACCCACAGGTTGGAAATAGCTCACAGAAGTCCAAGCTGCATCAGCTGTGCAACAGCTGTGCCACTGACTGACTGTGGCAGGAGGCCTCCAGCAGCATTGCAAACATGTCCAAACCCTACAAGGACAGCACGACACTGAGCAGCAAAATCCCGTATTTCAAGTGACACACGGGAGCCCTGGCTCTGGCTGGGCATCAGCGGAGCTGAGCAGCGCTACTTGGAGCTGCTGCAGATTCTTAATTTTCCTGACACTTCTTTTCCTTCATCAAGTAAGCTAGCATTTACTGTGCACAGCTACTGGAAACACCAAGACAAAAAAAAAAAATGTCAGTGAATGAGACAAAGAAAAGGCAGCTGCTCTAAGGCACTGAGCAGGAGAGCCAGCTGCTCAGAGAACAGTACCTTTTTTTGTTTCTAAGCTGCTGGCCCGCTTAGCCTCCTTGCTCTCCTGGTTGGCCTTGTCCTTCTGCTTCTTCTTGCTGGTGCTGTCCTCTGGCCCACGAGACGGTCTCCGGCAGCCAGCGGCCTCAGTGGTGCTGGCCATCTTGAGCCACTTGCTGATCGCGGACTGCCCACTGGCTTCACTGGCGGTGTCTGGTTCAGGGGTATGGCGCTTTCTACCTGGCCCAGCTATTTTGGCGACTTTAGATGGCAGAACTCTCCCAAACAAAACAAAGGGCCTGATGGAGAAGGGAATGAGAAGACTGATCAAAGCTCCAGCTTTCCTATAAACCTTGACAAGAAATCTTCAGTCTGTAAAAAGTTCCTGAAAATACTGTTTTTTAAAATAAAATAACTTATCACTTCAAAAAGGAAATCTAAAAAACTCAATCTATACAAAAGAGCAGTACTGCATTCTTAAGAAAAATATCATACATTTTCAGCAGAATCTAAAGAATGGCGTTTGCTCAAATTGTTACACAAAGCAATTGGGTCCTGCAAGTGTATAAAATTCTGCAGTTTTCAAATCTCTTTTTGAATCTGTTATTCAATGTGCCCGAACAAGATGCAGTACGTTTCTACCTGTTTTCATCAGCCCTTACGGTACCAACAAAAATCAGGGCAAAATAAAACACGTTTTGACTTATTGACCTTATATCTTTGGACTGACCAAGAGACAGTCCTAGGATATAATCAGGTTTTAAGCAATTTTTGTACAAAGTACAGATTCCTGCTCAAGGAACATGTTCTACAAAATACACCACTCATTCTTATCATCAGACTAAGACACATGCTAATGAAATCTGAAATAAAACTTTAGTCAGATGTGATTAGTAACTAGCAGGCTCATTTTGTAGTGCATTACCCATTTTATTGTCACAAAATAGTCATTGGTTCAAGCAAGATTAACAATAATCTGTACCCTGCCATACCCTAACACAATTATACAAACATCTTCCACCAAACCACTTCCAAAGAATCAGCTCCCTCCTTTGGGTAATCTGAAATATTTAACATTATCCTAAAAACCATTAATGAACCAAGATCATTCTCAGGCGCTAGAAAATGACCTGCTCAGAGACTTTCAGTGCAATGCTAGTCTACCATGCTACTACAAATTGCACACATCTTTCATTTAATAAGCAGGAGCTGGTTATGGAAAAGACCACTTACAGCCTACAAGCTATTATGGCTTAGGAGAAAAAACAAAGCAGTGAAACATGTCTGCGTCATTTATGATGCTATTTAAACAATAAAGTGGTGATCATTCCTAAATTAATGAGATTTGACTACAGTGGAGATTAGATTATGGTTCTTTACTTTTTTAACATTATCCTTATTACTTTATTGAAGTAGACTTATTAAATATACACAGTATAACTATAAAGGAAAAACACAAATGTTACTTTTATTTTAAATAAGTATAAAATGTATTCACAGGTATCTCAAACTAAAATAATTACATTTAAAGAACACCAGTTTATTATTGCAAATAGAAAAAGCAATTGCTTAAAATGTAAACAAAAACAGATTCACCAAAATAGAGAATTAAACTCAATAATTGTTTAGTACAATGTTAAACTATACATCTTCAGCTGTAATATGTTCATGCTAAGGAACTGAATTTACAACATCTTATAGCAGATTTCTTTTTCCAGAACTGAAACACAGGAAATGTTCATGACTGAAGCCTTAGAGCCAATTCATCACAGGCAATAACAATATGTCAGAATCCAACAAGCTCAGTTAATGTGCCTGCTGTTTCAATACATTTTTAAATGAAATACTGCAAAGAACTTTTGTTACTGCAGTTTTGGATAATTTAAATAATACATGGGAGATTCTGCTATGTTAACAAATCAGTAGCTTGATACTGTAAAACACAGACTTTGTGTCACATGCAAACTACTGTTGTTCTGTAGTTCACAACAGGGACAGAAAACTTGCAATTATGGAGTCAACATAGAGTGTCTCGTCTAATATTCTGAACATTAACTGATGAGCCTAACACTCAGTTGTTTACATTAAAAGGCATCTTTACTTAGCCATTTAAAAAATATTTAAAAAAAAGAATTTGCAAATTCATTTTTTATTAAAGAAAACTGACAGTCATTTACAGTAATTCAGAATGTCCTAAGCCAATGGTATTATACTTTAACTTAAGGGATGGTTTTGAATACCAAGATAAGACTTGCTTACCTGAAATAACCTTAGGTACAAACACAAGAACATAAGACAGGGTAAAACAAGAGAAGGTACTTAATGCACCCGATGTTTTCATCCAACTGATTATTGAAAAAAGCCAAGATGTCAGCTTTGACAACGTGGCTGGGTAGCTTGTTCTAGACACCTGACTACCCACGCCTCCTGTTCCCAATTTTAAATGTACTTCCCCATAGTTCCCACTTATATTCTCTTGTTTATGTTTCACTGTAGGCTCTGCAGAAGTCCAATGGGTTGACTCTGTCAAAGGGCTTGAGAATTCTGAATTAGTGGACACAGTCTAAAAAGATTCAATTCTTCTGGCTTGTCTCTGTAGGACAATGAATGGAATGAATCTGATCGCTCTTACCTGGACTGATTCTGTAGAAGCAATATTTTTTAACATGGGAACAAAAAGCGATACACTATCCTAAAAATGGGGCTTTAGTCACGCATTGTACAATTTAAATATATCTCAAGATTTAATTTATATACTTTTAAAAACAATTCGTACATTATTTTTGTTTCCATCAGGTCTAGATAATGTGTCAACATTCCACACAAGTCTTCCATCTTATATTAAGATTTCATATTTTTGTTACCTGCAAGTAATATCCTGCAATCAAAGATCCCTTATCATTTCATTTCTTAAATGTATGATGTGAAATTTACACTACTGCAGCTGTTGAACTTTTACCCTAATCACAGGGTAATGTGGGAATGAGAGTAAATGAGATACTGTATGCTGCATTTAACCAGAATTATATTTCACTGAAAAATCCCACGTGATTACAAGACTTCTCTCCTGATGGACAGGTTAAGACAGTGTCAGCTCCTGAAAATACAGAACTCTTTAATTCAAACGACGAGATGTAGATCCAAAGGGCTCCACTGCGTCAAAGGCCAGTACATTTTCACCTGCAACTCTTCTAAGGCAGGACATACAAATAACGAAGAGCGTGGTTATTAAGACTATTGTTTTAATCTTCGAACGAGATCTATACAAACCGGCTTTGCGGTAATCTGACAAGACAGGGGGGACCCAGGCTTCATTGTGTGCGTAAAGCAAAGAGAGGCCTATTATCTTTTCATTTTTTTTACATTGTTTTGTTCTTTTTCGTAAAGCCTTCCCAACGAAAAGGAGTTTCAGCACAGATCGGGTGGCTTACTGTAACATCCAAGTGTTAGGTGCATAATCAACCCAAAAATAAATCACAGAATCAAAATACCACTTTCATACTGCTTCATCCTTTTCCCTTCTGATTTCGTAGTTTGCATAGAATTGTTCGCAAACAAGGGCAAATAAATGAAAACCCGATTACTCTTGCCAGCTTGTGAAGTCTTCGGGATTACGGAACTGCCAAACCGTATTGAACCCGTTCTCTCATTGTTTGCATTGCAGTGACAGTGGTTGCATAACAAAACCACGTTTTCCAAACGGAGCCTCTTGAAACGGAGCGTTGAAGTTTCAACGGTAAGAAATCAATCCAGCCCAAAGGAGGCATTCCACCGTGTGCAAAGCCGTCGAGGTAGCGAATCGCCAACTTAATGACAGACATCTGAGCAGCGCAGCACCTATCACAGTGATTAATGTGACCATGGGAGAGAGCTGTCCAACCTCACGATTTAACAAGACATCGATAATCATTTCTCCCAACTAACGCATAATCCATGTCAATGCAAAGCATAAATAAAGCGGCTTATACTCACAGAGTTTAGGGGCAGACGGTGTTGCTCATGTGTTTTGTTTTTTTTCTGATTCCTCCTGCGACCGGTAGCCGGCGAGACAAGACACTCCAGCCCGAGGCTCCGCAATTAGGCAGCGGGCAGCGGGCCGCTGTCCGTCCCTGTCCGAAACTGGAGCTCAGCACACCGGCGGTATCTAGAATTTTCTAGCCCGGGCCCATCCCGTGTCACCTTATTGAATATTTCGATAGTGAATCTGGAAGGGGGACGCTTTCTGTCGCGGCTGAAAACTCTCTTCTCCAACTCTTTCTCTCACCGGCCTCAGCACAGTGACTCGCACTTTGTTTAGGAACAAAAACAGCTGAAACCGAAACCCTCAACACAACTACTTCCTGAAGCCACAAGGAGTCGAACATTGACTCTCGTCACATGACAGGGGTGCATCTGATTTTGTCAACAATAATGACAGCAGTCACACATATTGGAAAGAAAAAAAGGGGGAAAAACACATTTTGGAAAAATACAGACAATATTTATACACAGGCGGTTATATGATGATAAATACACAGAAACACAAAAGTGTTACTCGGACGAAAATGTAGAATAGACTAGTTTTATCATTGTATACGCAACCTCTCAGGATAAACAATACTTTGATCCCATCACAACATGGTAAAATGTGTGAATAATTTAAATCTCATTGCTATGATACTGGATTCCCCTTCTCAAATTCACGAGTCTCTCAAATTAGTAGCGCTCATACCAGTTTTAAAAACAATATATCCTAACCTATCTACTACCATTACAAACCTGCAAGGGTTTTTGAAATCATATGTAAATTGTTTTCCTTTTTCCTTTTTTAAAACCCCAATGTTTCAATTATCCAAAGCTATTGTGTTATACTGTCACTGCAGTGTTATATTTGCAGAAAAAGAAGTATAATATTTTGACATATTCAGATGCATTATATGGTCAGGAAACAGTGTAGTGTCATTGTCCATTTCACTGTTTGCTGCTTTGTCTTATCGGTATAGCACGGACGTATAGTGACTTCTAATGCAAGTGACTAAGTGTATGTATATACAGGCAATTCTGAAGGCGACCATATTGTATGAATAAGGACCCCGTAAAATTCTTGAGTAGAGGAATATTTAAAATGGTCTAGTACCGTCTTACATTTGATTTATTTAAAACATGTAAACAGGTGTTCTTTTTACTCGACGAATAGATGTTTTAGTACACTTTAAATACAGCGCGACCCGTTTTTAATTGTGAATGTGTGTACGACTGAACGTAGGTATATTTATCTTTCTACAGTAAGATACACGCTGCGCCGGTGCACAGCGGTTTTCAGTTCTGCTAGCAGGGCGGCGTTGTGGGTTGAAGTAGTCTCGTCTCTTTTTTATTTTAAAAAATACATTGTAGCAAATCGTTGGGTGTTGTTAATAAATATACATTCGCAAGGGATATTTGCTGGACAGGGGTTGAGCCAGAATGGCGGATGAAGTTCTGTTTCAGTTCCTCCACAATGAGCTCATACAGTATGTTTACAAGTCGGCTGAGCATGGGGAGATGGTAAGTATTGCATCCAGCGTGTTTTATCGAGAACATACAGTATCGTGTGGCGACATTAACTCTGACCCGTTTCAAATGATGCAAAATCACTTTTATAAAAGTAATTAGTCATTTAAAAGTGACATTCTGTGAATACTCCAGTGCCAGTTGTTGCCATTTTACACACCGGCTGTTGAAGAGGTTCACGCTTCCAGCTTCAGACACCTGGTGGATGTTGCTCTGAAAAGACGGCAGTGGGAGACAGTGATGTATGTACAGTACGCACTATCAGTTAATTCAAATGAATTAGTGCAGAGAAGAAGTTATCGTCCTGTAAGGTACAACGTATAGCACCATATGGAAAGTCTGCTTGTCGTGTCAGATGACTGGGTTACACTGCCTCAGTTTACGAAAAACCTACAACAAAGGGGAGATTAGAAACTATGTATTAGTGGTAACGTGCTTATTAACATTTCTGTGCGCCTCTATACCTAAGCCAGGTTAAGTTTTAATGTGATCAGTTTTACTGTTGTTTTTTTTGGGGGTTATTTCCAGGAGAATGGGAGATGCATAACAAGACTGGAAAACATGGGCTTCAGAGTGGGCCAAGGATTAATAGAAAGGTATATTAAAAAACATTTTTAAATAATTATTTATTATTATTATCTCTGATTCACTTTATGAGCGTGTCATTTGGAATTTATTTGGACCTTAGTACCAAGTACCAATCCACTGGGTCCTGTTCTGACAAACGTTTTTTTTCAGATTTGTACTGAAATGTACAAATCTGAAAAAAAAGTTAAAGATCCACTTAATGATGAGATATGAAAAACATATTCACAAGAAAATATCAGAAGACTTAATTCTATGCTTTAAATAGTGATAGAGACAGGTGTGTAGGAAACAGTTCTGCTCACGGTTGTATCATTAGCATGGAGAATACTGTACAGTTATGTCACTGAACAGGTAAAGCTTGATTTCATGATGTAAGGTAAATTAATTCCTTACATTTTATACACCTTTTTTTTGTGGACACTGCACATAAAGCGCTTTATAGGTAATGGGGACTCCCTCCACCACAACCAATGTGTAGCCCCCATCTGGATAAAGCGACAGCAGCCATACTGTGCCAGTATGCTCACCACACACCAGCTATCAGTGGGGAGGAGAACAGTGATGAAGCCAATTCATAGATGGGGATTATTAGGAGACCATGATTGGTAAAGGCCAGGGCGAAATTTGGCAGGACACCGGGGGTTAACACTCCTACTCTTTTTGAGAAATGCCATGGGATTTTAAATGACCATGGAGAGTCAGGACCTAAGTTTTATGTCTCATCCAGAGAAGAAAGGTAATGGTAAAGAAACTTTCTTTACCTTTCAGCGTGGAATGAAGCTTTAGTTGTTCCTTTGCAGCCTACGCATGCTGACGCAGCTCCCTACTCTTACTGTATGTCAAGTTTGTACATTGTCTTGATGCACTGTTTGCACTTTGTCTTGTTTTTTACACTTGTTTTACAATCGAGAGACTTTCTGTAAGTAAGAATTCCATTGTACCAGTACCGGTTACATATGGCAATAAAGTTCAAGTTCAAGTTAAGTAAAACCTCAAAATAATAATTATATTGGCAGTCCATGATGAATGTCATATATCTGTGTCAATATACCTTTTTCTTACCCTCAGCAGGGGCAAGGAAACACATGCAATTTGCCAGATGCTGAAAGTAATTTTAATATTTCTGCCAACAACATTTAAATTACAAAGTGTTCTGGGTGAAGGACAGGAAGAGATTCCCATGTTGTCGAAGCCTTGGTTTTTATTAAAAACAAAAGCTAGTTGAGATCCTTCAGTCAATTAGCTACTAGTAATTGAAAGAGTTATATAGGCCTCTTGTCTGTAACCATTCTTGTGTTCTTAGATTCCCAGGGAGAAAAATTGTCAAGTAATTACCTTTAGCCAAGGACAGTGCCTTTTTTATTATAATAAATCTTGTACGTTGGTGGATCCTGTTAGAAAGGGAACTGTAAAGTATTGTTCTTATTACCTTTCATTAGGGGGGAAATCATTCATAAAATACCAGTTTACCAACGTTTATGGTGTTATTGTATAACACCAGTAGTATTTCTGAATGATTTTTCCACTTGTAATGGGAGTGAAAATCAATAAAAGACTAAATTACTGTATTGTCTCCTGCCAGGTTCACCAAAGACACTGCACGGTTCAAAGATGAACTGGATGTCATGAAGTTCATTTGTAAAGATTTCTGGACCTGTGTATTCAAAAAGCAAATCGATAACTTAAGAACAAACCATCAGGTGATCTTTTTGTCTGTACTTTATTTTTACTATCCTATGCTCTACACATTTAATTATAATTTGACTGAATAAGTGCAAAAAAAATAATGCAAAGCTTTGTAAAACAATATGCCATCTCAGACAAGGGTGTTTGCTAAGTCAATAAATTATTAATAATAAATGCACATTGACCTTTGCAGGGAATTTATGTGCTACAGGATAACAAGTTCCGGTTGCTGACACAGATCTCTGCAGGAAAACAGTATTTAGAGCATGCACCCAAGGTAAGACAATGCTATATACAGTACTTCCAAAATCAAATTTAAAAAGAACAAACTATATTCATTAATAGGGTCCTAGATGTCGTTGAGTTTGCTGTTTTTCAGCTGGGATTATTCAAGTCAGTGCCAAAGAGAGGTATTTTTTAGATCAGATGATTCCATAGAAGATCACACAGTACAAGCTTAGAATATGATCAGTTGTATCTTAAATTTCAAATGAGAACTTAAAAAATAAGCTAAATGTCATTCCTGAAATAACTAAAACACACACACTACACTTAGTGGTATAAATAGGATGAGGGTTTGTATTTGCTATTTTCCATAGAAATAGAGTGTATAGGTACAATGGAAAGCCATCTGTAATGCTGGCATCATGTGAGTAAATGAGTGCAGATAATATATTACACTGTAGATACATTTTTGGCATCCTTGAAAAAGAAAAGGCATGGCATCCAAAATCGTATTTTACTGAAATTCCAGTCTTCAGCCTTCTGCATTGTTTAGTTTCCTTTTTCTCTGCTGTGTGAACATAGATCAGTTGAAATTTCAGCCATTTCATTTTAAGTACACAACAAAAACAAACAAAAAGCATCCTTTCATCTTTGTGGATGTGTAGAGGAACAAGTGATGTTAATGATTAGGAACACCTGACAGTGAGTCCATTATATGTGATTGTTAAAGATGATGGATTAACTACAACAGCACTTCATATTCATGTATGTTTACCCTGAATAGCTATGATTAGGTGTTTGAAAATTCTGGTCAACATAATTTAAAGAGATTGCTTTTTGGATTTTCACTCTAGGCTGTATTAATACTGGCAAACCTGTTTTATTAGTAGAAAATAGTAGTGGGTGCTTTGAGGAAATTGAACATACTATGTACAGGTATATGTTGTAATCCCTGATGATGTCTAAGATGAAGACTTTTGCACAGAAGCGTATCTCTCTAACATAATCAGGTGTGGTTTTCAAAATCTGGTCCCAAGTTCGTCCATTGGCATTGAACCCACTACACATCTAACAGGTCAGAACATGATATACAGTTACCCTTTGAGTTTTTAATTAATGCACAGTACTTCCTCATTATCTGCACAGATTGAGGCAAAGTGAGACTGGAAGGTATTAGGGTTATTCTGTTTAAGGTGATAGGCCTAAAAGGACTGTACACTGTGTTGTTTTTCAGTATTTGGCATTCACCTGTGGTCTGGTGAGAGGAGGACTGTCAAATCTGGGGGTTAAAAGCATTGTCACGGCAGAAGTCTCTGTGATGCCTGCATGTGAGTTCACTTGCTTTCTACACAATTCATGAATCGACTGTTTTATATCTCGGTACTGGTCTCAGCTGGGGACATTATCTTTCATCTTCCACTTTAAGAGAAACTGCCTGGAAGAAATGAAGTAGTTTTCCATTTGTAAGATGTGGTTTAATTCCAGTCAAATCATATTATCTGTTTGGAAAAACACACTGGAGTAGAAAATGGAAGCCATTTGTATTTCAGGTCTATATACAGTACATACTGTAGAAGTTGCTCAGTGGAAATGAAACTGTAATATGAAACGTCATGAAACCAGATTATTTTCAATAAGTTCCTCTTCTACTATAGCAGAGCAGAAACTGCAGGACAGAGTCACCTTGATAGACCAGTGAATTCAAGGGAATGTAAATAAGATTATTTATGTAGTTCAAGTAGGTAGCTGCGTCGGCATGCGTAGGCTGCAAAGGAACAAGTAAAAGCTTTATTCCATGCTGAAAAGAGAAGAAAGGAAACACAACGTTTCGGCTGTGGAACCTTCTTCAGCTGTGTCTCCTTGTTTGACACCCGGAGAAGGCTCTTTTATTCTCTTTTCAGCATGGAATAAACCTTTTACTTGTTCATAAAATTATTTGTGTCAAATTGTAAACTACTGTATATCAGTATTCTTGAGCTTTGTATTAGGTAGGTAAAAGCCTAACTGATCCCTTGAAAATCAATAAGGATAAAAAATGATTATTATCAAGTGAAGGATTATGCATGAACATGAATATAGCTCATTTCTTTTTTCAAATGTCCACCAAATATACTGTTATATTTAAGGACACAAGAAGGTTTTAATGCTTTCCTTTGCTTCCTTCCTAGGCAAATTTCAAGTTATGATACAGAAGATCTAGAAGGATCCTCGTGTTGAGTTTAATGCCTTTTTAAATGTATGAAGTATTCCTGCACGCAAACACAGTATGGTGGCATTCAGGACCTTTGTGTAATATCTGTTTTACTTTTTACAATGACTTTAACTGACTTTAATTGCCTTGAAAAGCATCTGTGTTTAAATTATTATTCACAACTCTTAATAAAGGACCACATTACTATATTAACAAAGTTCTCGTGCTTATTGTAAGTAGAAATTAACATTCAGGCATGCACCCTTGTGAAGTTCAGGTAATTTGTGTTGTAAGTGAGTTCAAAAACTGTTTTCATCAAGAGGAGTCACTGAAAACTAAAACCCAACAGATGAAATTGAAATACAAGGAATGTACAGGGTGAATGATAAAGAGATCATATTCAACTTATTCAACTGTCCTAGTGGAAAATAAATTAAGTCTGCTTCATTTCGTTTTTTCGTTTTTAGAGTTCTGTATATTTTTGCCATGTGTAATCTGGACTTTAGTCAAACTGATTTTACTGATGTGTATGTCATATACTGTATCTGAATGGCAACGGAATTGAATGATCGAAATTGACTTGAGTGATATAAATATAAAGATTCAAATTTATATAGACCCTGTCATCAAGATGCAACTATATATATATAGATATATTTTGTAAAGGAAATTGACTTCAAATGCACCAATCAAGGCCAGTACAGCAATTAACTAATTTACTGATTGCAGTGATCCCTCACTTAAAGTTATCCATCTAATATCTCAGCTTACTCCTGTTTTGGAATCTCTGCACTGGCTTCCTGTTAATCTAATTTTCAGAATCTTCTAAATCTTGATTTAAAAGTTATTTTATTGATTTTTAAAGCTTTGAATGGTTTGGTTTCATTCTGTCTGATCTTTTGTATTTATAAGACAAAACATTATGGGGAAATAAGGTTTTTGTTAGGGATGTGCCTCACAAGTTGTGGCTTTTCCTGCAGTCTAGATTTGTCTTTTTCAAATCATCCCCCTGGCCAAGATGGCGGCATGGAAATCACTGGCTGGTTGACCAGACATCAGCTATCACTGGAGCAGGATCAGCTGCGCATCCTGTCCCAGACAGTATCAAAAGAGCACTGAGTAGGAAAAAAGATGGTGTTGACAAGGAGCTGAATCTTAGGGGGATCCCTGTCAGATTGCCCAGTTTCAGCCAGCTCAGTCCAAATCTGTCCCTTGTCTGAAAGTTTTCTGCTAATTATTATTTTTCTCCAGCTCCAGCTGAAAGGGCAGCACTACTGCTGACTTATTTTTGCCCAGCATTGGCCAGAAGGCCAAAGTGCGACTGTAAATTATTTTTCTCTCTAGCTCAGGCTGAAGGGCAGTGTTATAAGGTAACGGTTTTCCCCATAGTCCTGTGGGAAGAGCTCTATTTTTTGCCCAGCACGGGTCATTATTTACACTTATTGTATAAAATTTAGTTTTCTAAGATTTTTTTTCCTATGTATTTTTACTTCATTTTAATCATGCATTTGTGATCTGTTTTCCATGTATGTTTCTTTTAATGGTGCTTTATAAAATAAAATTATTGTTAATACCTTAAATGTGACCTCTGCAGCGGTCTTATTCTTGTAATGCTAGCATAAAAATTATATATTTTTCAATAGCTGGATTCCCTGCTAGATTAATTAATAATTTGTTCTTCATTTGAATCTAATTTGATGGAATGATAAAGGAGGAACAAGGTCTCAGTAAGACAACAAACAACATTACAAAAACTCAAGTACTGTTATATCGGCACATGCAAACCAGCATTTAAATATCATTCAATAGATATGGAAACGTAAAACTATGGTCTTTAATTTAAAATAACAAAACCTATAAGCATGCATAAAACAGTCATACAGGATGTGTCCCAGAGCCTGGTCTTGTCTGTGTGTTCAATCTAGAATGAAAATACATAAGTCACAGACACTCCAGATCAAAGCTTTTATTTAATAAAAAAGAACATCAACTAGAGCAAGGAAAAATCTTGTTCTTTGTTGCTTATTACTCCTAATCTCATTTTTAAGGACCACTTCATCTTGCTGTGTCTCAGTAAAGTTAAAAACCAAGAACAAATTCAAATGCCATATAGGCTATACACTGTATATATTTTGGTGATGGGTCATTGTTGCCTGCAAATTTTAAGCAAGATACCTAATATGGCTATACAAATAATGATAAAAAAGACTGTTCAATAAACTGAAATAAAAGTTCTGCCAGTAAAATTACATTTGAGAATTTAAATTTAAATTTAAATTGCCTTTTCAGCTCTGCCTTATGTGTTATTTTTTAAATACTTCTTGACCACCAGTTTTCAGTCAATGGCAGTGCGAAAAGAACAGCAACTTTGTAGCATTAAGGGGAAATACCATTTTTGCAAGTGAGACCCAAAGTCTTTTTGTCTTCAGAAACATGGGAGTTTATGACACATTTCCCACATCTTCTGTAAAAGACAATGACAATAATGGTGTTTTTTCAGCACACCAAATCCTGAGACAACACCAACAGCAGCCATGATTGTTAACAACAAGAAAACATCCTCCTTTTATTTACTTAAAGCAACCACAAACTAGATGTACCAAGTGCTTGTTAGGGGTCATCATTAATAGTTTAAAGCTTAAAAAATATTTTTGATATGAATAATAAAATGTATAACACTTTATATTTTTATGTATAGTTTTTTTGTACAACAGATGCACTTTTACTTAAATAGGGTTATATGGGCTCTTTTGTAATGGGAGCTACTAATTCACTAATTTTGAAAATAGAGAAATATAGGCTCACAATAACATGAAAAACAAACGTTGACTAAAAGCTGATCCTTTTCAATTCTAGCCTCCCAAATATTAGTCACTTATGATACATGGATGGACATGTAGCATCATTACCTTGCTTTTATTTAAGAATATGAAAGTCATGATTCTATAAATTTAGAGTAAAATAAGCTGGCTTTTGAGTTAGTCTAAGAGCATTCACAGAAAATGAATACTGTTTGTATTTTCTGTTAATTGAGAAATGTTTACATCTTGGAGAAAATAACGCAGTGTAAGTCTTCTAAAGCCGAGTATAAAGCCAAATTTACAACAAGGCAAAAGGAATACGATTTAAGGAAGCAGGTACAGTAAACTTTACACTTTATTAATTGTCACCTGTAAACTCCACCTAAAGACACAAGTTGCAAGCAATTGTAAAATATGATATGACCATAACTTCATTTCAGATGGACAAGAAAACACAACTCTATTGTCAGATATTTATAATCCATGCATCCCTTTAGTTGATTCAAAGTTAGAAATTACAGCAGAATTCACATAAGTTTGTTATCTGATTCTTATTAATAATAATGACAAATCAAAGGACTTTACAGGTAATGGGGACTCCCCTCCACCACCACTAATGTGTAGCCCCACCTGGACGATGCAACTGCAGCCAAAGTGTGCCAGTACACTCACCACATATCAGCTATCAGTGGAGATAAAATGAAAGTGAAAGTAAAGTGATGAAGCTGATTGATGTGTAGGGATTCATAGTTACCATATACTGTAGTTATAAAACTTCTTCACATGATCGTCTTCATATCTACACATACTGTACTTTAAGAAGTAAAAAGGGTTGTAATGACACCACAAAAACATGTAACTGAACAGAAACTGATAAAAAACAGTCTTCTTTGCCAGCAAACACCAAGTTCTTGATCTGTCTTTAGAGTGTGAAAGAAACCTTTTAAAGCTTCATATTGAAAGATACTGTAGAGTCTCCTGTCTCCCACTTCCGCCCACCGACATATAAATAGCACTCCTGTTTTGTTTTCACTTCCGTTCCTCCACCACATCCTCATCCTCAGAGCAGCTCCCTGGCTCATTCTTCAGTAAAGGCGGTGTTCTAACAGCCCCGTAATTACAGACAGGTACTTGTTCTCCTCAACCAAGCAACTTACCCCAAAAAAACCTCTCCATTCAAATCACACCTCTCCTCCATCTCGATTAGGGATTGACTGAACTACTAAATTGCCTTATCGGGGTATCGTATTAAACTAATACAAACTCACTCAGACAGTGTGTCTCTGTCAGAACACATACTCTTGAGTTAAATTGTTGTGCACTACAAACATTGAATGAGTTGAATCAAATGAGGATACAATTTTAATGTATTTTTTTAATTTTCAATGTGAATTTTTTTTTGTACAGACAATAAACTTACTTTTTGAACATTAACTAGGATGACTGTCTTATGAATCATATCAACAGAAACATTTTGTAGGAGTCAAACTGGATATTATAACCTCTTTTGACTGAAAGTATATATGAAATACTGTAAATGAGCGAATGAAGGCAATTCTGTGTCAAATAGCTTACAGCAGATGCTATTTGTGACCACTAGGGGGTTTATAGGTACAGCAGTGTTAGTCGCCAGTGTCTGTAGTCCTGCTATGGAGACACCAGGACCTGCAGTCAGTCAGTGCCTGGGTGTTACTGACAGGTGTTGTAAATCTGAATCTGCTGGTTGATGGCATCAAGAATGGACCTCATCTTCTCCTCCAGGCCATCCAGCTGTTTGGCTTTGCTCTCCAGGGTTTTCTGATTATTCTCGTAATTTCGTTCCAGCTCTGCGAGCAAAACACAGGAGGTGGAAATAAACGAGCCGCATATAAATTCAGCATTCAAGCACTGCCTGTTGGCCCATCTCCTGATTTATTGAAAAAAAACATAATCTAATGGAGGGGAGCCATGTGGGTCAGTGCTTTGTGAACACAGCCCGAAGACTCATTCAGGACATTCTTTTCTGAGAGGCCATGAATGAAGAACGCATAATGATTGACTCTCTTACCACCCAGCCTGCGGAGTTTGTCTTGGGCATCCTTCAGGAGCTGTTTGGCCTCATCCCGAAGCATCTCTGCCCTCTTCTTGGCATCCTGGACAGTCTTCCCCTTCATGTTCACCAGGTCCTGCACTGTCTTGTACTTATCATTTAACTCACCGTCTAAAATCTGCAAAGCACCAAGAGCAGAGAGTGAGAAAAAGACATGGCCTGAGGCCAGCCCAGCTGTCCTTGAAGAGGAAACTGGCCCTGAATAACACTGCACCTGAACTCAGCCAACAAAACAATGGAATTATCATCTGGTCTTGTAGTGAAGAAACTTGCATTTGCAGTTGTACGCAAACACTAAAGTATTGATTGAATGCCTCTCCAACAGTGAGTGGAGTATCAGTGCTTTTTTACATATACAGTGGCTATTAAAAGTATTCACCTTCTTTGGCATTTTTACGTTTTAATTTCTTTAGGAATTAAGAAAAAGCTTTAGAGTATATTTATTTGACATTTCAGAGTATTTGTGCTGATCAGTGGTAGGAATTTCCAAATAAATCCATTTTGATTCTATGATGTAAGAAAATAAAATGTGAAGAATGCCAAAGGCGGGGTGAATACTTTTTGTAGCCAGTATAATGTATATGTTAGGAGTAAACATTTTTGGAGATTTTATCATCTGTGAGGACTTTGAGGCCCAAACAAGCAGCAAAGATCAGCAAATTCATTCATTCAGTTTCATGCTACTCATGCATTTCTACAGTATATACAGTAATAAACAATCACAGCCTCAAAAGTACAGCACCATTAACAGGCCACAAGGTAGGGTTAGGTTTGAAGGATGCAGTTACTGATCTGAAGCAATAAGCACATCTCCTTCCAGGAAACACACCTGCTTGGCCTCGTTGGCTTTGTCCCTTGCCATGGTAGCTGTCTCCTCGGCCCGGGATGCCACCAAGCTGTTGTTGGCACGTTTGGTCTTCAGAGCGTCAATCTGCCGGCCTAGGGTGCCCAGCCGGTCCATGGCATCCTTGAGATTATTCTCACTGAGCGCAGTCTCAGACTGGATCTGCAAAGTACAGTGGGCTTTGATGGGCTACATTGTACAAGTGGATAAGCAATGACACTTTCAATGTGTCTCCTGCATAACACAAAGCTTAACCTTGACAGGATGTACTGTAGTACAGTTAATAAATACCACCAGCCATGGATAATAAAACAGTTAACAGCAATTTAACACATACAGATGGGGGTTAAAATAAGGTTTTAAGTGCTTGTCCCTATATTGTGTCCCATCTATGAAGTGGGACAAATACTGTATATCAACACATATTCAAGATTACAGAGTTAGTGTGTAACTGTGTTGTGGAGTGTATGCCTGGAATGTGTTAGCCATGCAGCTCTATGTTGCTCACCAAACTGCTTCAAGGTGTGCTGAAGTTCGGTAAAAACTGATATTGTAAAGCAACAGTAATTGAACCTCCTAACGAGGTTGACAAGAGAAAGAGAGATCGACTTCAACGAACAGGACATAAAGCAGAGCCTGAAACAAACCAACCTGTCCTGGACTATGAGGCTATACTGTATGAAAAGGAAAACCTTACCTTTGTCTGTTCAGCAGGGCACACCTAACACAGCATTAATGTGTATAAAGAGCTCCATAAAACCTGAATCTGCACTGTTTCCTATGTTGAAGAATTTCCCACCATCAACGATCACCACCCTGATCTGCTTCACAGTAAAATCCGATGGATTTTTCCAAGTTTCTTACTTCTGCCAGGCGGTTCTCAGTTTGGCCGAGGTCGGTCTTGGCACGTTGTATTGCCTTCTCTGCTTCTGCCTGTGCCCGGCTGGCATCATCCAAGGCCGTCTTCACCGTCTCAGCTGTGTTTTTCACAGTCTCTGCTCGATTCCTGAGAGCAACAAAGAGGACACAACCGCTGCTGTAGTTTTTCAATCCAAATAACTGACTGTGAAGTACCATGAAGACAGATCACACTGTTGTACATTATTCTGCATTTACCAGAGGAACCAGTCTGCACTTGCAGCTATCCCTGCTTAAGTGATACAAAGATTGTGGGCTGCATTTCTAAAGACCACACTGAGATCTTCTGTGTACAGGTGTTTTTGGTACAGAGGGGAAAATCTCCTCATGTTTAAAAATTAAAAATGTACATTTAAATGGCCCAAAATAAGTTGGCTTCATGAAGGATGCATATGAAAATATTAAATTTTAACTTGCTTGTGTTGAAAGAAAGGATTGTAACATCCATACACAAGTAAACACTGAATGAATTAGGTTCTGTGTTCTGTGCACTGACATACACTTAAACACTCTTTATACTGCGCTCGAACACACAAACCCTCTTCACAATAATGGATACAAGTCTTTCTTTCTCCATTTCTAGAACACTTTTTCATACAGTAGTTCTCACACGTCCCTGCCCCACCTCTACAGTGAGATTGTACACTCCCATCACGGTCCCCCTTCCATCTCTCCAGCCCTGGGGTCTCACCTAGCCCTCCTGGCATCCTGCAAGAGCTGCTCTGCCTTGCGCACATCGTCTTTGGTCTGCTCCAGGATGGCATCGACGTTGGACAGGCTGTTGACCCGGTCCTTGATCTCCTCTGCCAGGTAGCGAATCTGCTCAGGTGAGGCAGGGATAGAGAGCTCCAGCACCTTGCTAGCCACCACCTCAATGCTGTCCGGATCCGCGCCTTCCTCTGCGTGGCAGCAAAGCAAAAGAGATTTCAACAGACCACGTGGGACAAGCAGGAACTTCAAGTTGGCCCACAGGAGATGACCCAGACACAAACACCTGCATGAACTGGAACAGCCTGTTTGTGTTCCTCTGTGAAATCACAAGGATGAAAGTCTCAGGTTGGGATTTCTAAAGGGTTCGGCGAACAAGCTCTAGCCGGCACCCACTCACGCATGAGGAAGTCCCGGATCTGCTTGATGAGGTCGCGGAGGTCCTTGTTGGAACGCTCCACCTTGGTCTTGGTGTCGTTGGCCTTGTCCAGGGCAGCCTGTGCCCTCACCTTCGCCTCTTCTGCTTTTGTCTTCACTTCTGCCACCTGAGACGACAATGACAAACAGAAGGATTTGTAATGTTGGACAGTTAAATCTGTTCAATTCTCAATCCAATTGTCTCGCCGAGTTGAAGTCACAGACGCCCAAACAGTATATACTTGTGGCTGTGCGGCTCCTGTCTTTATTCATGACATTTGGGACTGACCAAAGAAATGTCTAAACAAGAAAGCAGATAAATTAAGTGATCAATAAGCCCTATGGATTTATATACTCAGATAGGAGTTAAAACAAAATATATATATATACTATTTCTCTAGGACCAGCTTGGGAAACATTACTTTAACTTCATATAGGCCTGGGAAATATAGAAATTGTAACCAATTTAATACATAATTTCTTAAACTAAGTAGACTCAGAAAGTCCAGATTATCGGCACCTCTTTTAACAGGTGTATACAGTGGGGCTTTTGAGGATTTACTGAACTAATAATGTAGGAAGTGGATTCAGAGGATCTAGCTGATGTGAAATGTCCTTCAGTTGCCTTATGAAAGTTCACAGTTGTGAATTATCAAGGTAAATTGAATTTTAACCATTTTTCCCTTCTATATACTTTACTTATTTTTTTGTATGCAGTATATTTTATCAACATTTTACCGCAGTTTATTAAAAGTCACTCTTTCTGCCTGTTGATGCTACAGTAAATTTTTATTGGTGGTACTCCAGTGCCGGGAGACTGACCTTCTTGAAGAGCTCCTCCACCTCGCCCATGGCCTTGCTCAGCTCCTTCTCAGCATGCTTGGCCCTCTCCAGGGCATTATCGGCTGTTGCCACGGCACCGTTGCAGTTCAGGCCACCACAGTGCCTTTTTCCTTCGTCGTCTCGGCAACCCGCCCCACCACATGGGCTTTCTCCACACGGGGCATCCCCTGGGGCTCCACACACCTGGGGGAAGAGGGCGAGAGAGGCAGGGGGGCATTAGAGTCAGTGAAATGATTCTGATGAGCTTCCTGATAAGGTCTGCGCTGACCCCTTTCTTGCTATTCGGGGGAGTCTCCCCAGCCTGACCTTCTCGTTTATTTTTTTCATGTCCAGCGTCTGTGTCTTGGCTTTCAAGTCCACCAGGGCACGTTTGTTAGCAGCATTCTTGCGGTTGAAGTCGTCCCTCTTCTCGGTCATCAGCCGCTCGGTCTTGCGGCGGGTATCTGCGGACTGACTGACGGTGCTGGGGACAGCGGTAGTGGATCGGTTGGCACGGCGTTCGGCTTCCCGGGATTTATCAAAGGAGCCGCGGATGCTGTCGTAGGCACCTGGGGACATGCATGGAAGATCACAGCACTTACAGTATAGTTCCATTATTTTTAAGTTGACGGTACAAGACACGAAATATACTGGTGAATACAGACCCATACCAACACATTAATATACACTTTAATGATTTTCAGTATTATCACAGTCAAGAGTGGTAAACTAGAGTGCAAGTGTAATAAACCAACAAAGGAAAGAATAGTGAAACAAATGTGAATTAGTGCAAGATGAAGAAAATAACCCTTCCGGCCCCTACCCAGGAAGTTGGAGTTCTTCAGCACGTCCAGCTGGTGGCCCAGCTCCCCAGCCGAGAGGTTGAGCTCCCGAGCCTCCCTCTCCAGGGCACTCAGCTGATTGCTGGCCGCAAAGTTGCTGTCCTGGACACTGGTCAGCTCCCCTTCCAGCTGGTTCAGGGTATCGGTGGTCTCGCCGATCCTGGCTCTGAAAGCAGATGGAAGAACAGGCCCTAGTGGGTGACCATTCACAGACACAACAGATCACAACAGACAGCCACTGGACCCAGTAAGGAGAATGTCCCATGGGAAGACTCCGTGCTTTTTATACCACAATTTTCCTTTTGAGAGAGAAGGAGTAGAATAAAATGACAATCCAGGCATGGATTTGTCAAGGTTGTGCCAAAATAGCTTTGCCAGTCTTACAGATAAACTGCCCTCTGATATTACAAGTCCATACCATCTCTTTGGTGTAAAGCCAGGTTAACAATATTTGTTGAAAAGGTAAATGGTAGATGCCGTAAAACCTTTGGGGCGTGAGTTATAAACGGAATCACAGTTTTACACAGAGAAAGCCAAATTACTGTTGGACCTGACAGCCCAAATGTTCCAATCTGTTATATCATCCAATCATTAAATCAACAGCACGGACGGCTGGGCAAAAACACAGGTCTTGTCCAGAAGTGAATCCTTGAGAAAGAGCTTTTTCTCCCATTCAGTCGCTCAGACTGCAGCCTTGACTTGTCTGTGTGTGTCTGGCGATGCCCACCTGAGGCCCTTGATGAGATCCATGAGGCTAGCGATGGACTCGGCGGTGGCATTGCGGGCATTCACGATGGCCTGCGCCTGCGCCAGCTTCTCCTCCAGCTCTCGGAAGTTCTTCTCGTAGGCTCCCGTCAGGCCCGTGTGCTGGATCACGCGGGCGCGCTCGGTGAGGGCCCGCGTACGGGCGGCCAGGTCCTGCACCACCCTGTCCCAGTCGCCAAAGCACTGGTGGCAGGGCAGGCAGTCGGGGAACTGCCCCGAGAAGCCGCGGGCACACTGGTCGCAGCGCACCCCAGACACGCCCTGCTGGCAGACGCAGTGCCCTGTCACCCGATTACACTGAGACGTCTCGATGCCCCTTGGGTCACAGTCACAGGCTGCAAAGAGGACAAGGGGTCACAGTCTCCAGTATGAAGACCTGGTGCCTTTTGTATTGAGTGTTACTCAGCACTTTGGGATTATTAGGTGTTTCATTGTACGTGTGCGCTTCTGTGATGTGGACACAGAAATCCGACATGATCTTTAGGTGAACACAAATGTAGCAGTGTTTTTATTTCATTTCACTGCAAAATAGAGATGTCAGTGCATTCATTCCAGGCTGATGGAGCAGTAAAAAGCCAAGCAAATACCTTCATTTTAAGGTTTCTCAAAGCCAGTGCCAGTTATTAGCTCTTGATATGACTGAAATTACAAACTGTAAGTGTCACAGGAATAACTTGCAATTATACTTTTAAAGGCCACTCAAGTCTGAGTTGGATTCATCGGAAAAATTGTGGATCCATAGGAAACAAAGAAATTTGTTTCTTGCGTTTGATAATTGAAGAGGTCTTTCATTTAGTTATTTTCTTGGTAGTTATCGATACTGGAATTAAACCCTGTTCTTTGGTTAGCACAGCCATTGAAAGGGAAACTCAGGGAGAGTGGAAGAAACAGCCAACTAAGGGGGACTGACCTCTGCACTGCACTTTGGGATCACCCCAGTAGTTCTCCTGACAGTCCTGGCAAGTCTTGCCTCCGAAGCCTGGGCGACACTGACACTTGCCCGTGAACTGCAAACACAGGACCCGAAAATCAATCTCTGACACGCAGCTTAGCAAAAGGAGCACAAGAATTCTGAAAGACATATTTTTTTAACAGTGAAACGTCTTTTGAGATCTAAAGAAGTACAGTAGCATTATGGCCCATAGAAGTAACAAACCAGCAATAAAATATAAACATTTCAGTGGGGGCTATTTTCTTCAACTTATATCATTGCTTAACATTTAAAGAGGAAATATTTTAATTTAGCAAATATCTGATGAATTTTATAACACACAGAACTAAAACTAAGGAGTGTCTCTGAGGAGAAAAAAAACATTGTGCTTGTACAACAGTGAAAGACCTTATGTAACCCATAGAGGGTGCTTCTGAGACAAGGTACAAGATAAAGACTTCAATTGAAATACTGTTATCCTTTTTTTTCAAAAAGGGAAGCCTTAAACTGAGCTCACAAATATCTTGTAAATGAAGTCCTTTGCATTTGCCGGAGATCTCTGCCTTTTCATACCACGTATTAAGATACTGTAGAAGGCTTCATAGCAATGTGAAGAAAGTCAAAATAAAAAAACTCAAGACACGCCTTTTGAAGATCTGCAGAGCTTGTGCAGGCACTGGGTCAACAAACCTCATTGCAGGTGGGGGTGATGGCATTGTTGGGGTCACAGTTGCAGGTCTCACAGCCTGTCCCACTGGCCAGGTTCCAACAATTGACAGCGCAGTGGTCACAAGACTGTCCAATGACATTGGGTAGGCACTGGCACTGTCCCGTCCTGCGGTCACACGTACATTCGTCCCGAGAGGAACACTGGCTCCGGTCTGTGCCCAAAAAGTTGCAGGTGCATTCTGAAAAGAACAGCAAAGCTCATTCTACTGAGGGCCATGAAGCTGATAGCACACTAATCCACGAACAACACATTGCAAACAACGAAGGAGTATGCTTTAAGAAATAGCTTTCGGATTTGACTATTGAGAGGTTAATTATCTCAAATCTTAGTTTTCTTGACAGAGGTCTTTCTTGCAAGCTGTCTTGCGAATGGATATTTTAGCTGTTTAAGAAAGTGGGTTGCAAAACAAACATGAAAAGTGCAGAATATTAAAAGCAAGAAAGACAATGGAGTTGAAAAAGAACTGGATGATTTGATCTTAAAAATGTAATCCTGCCACCAAACAGGTTCTTCTAAATGTACTGTTCTGTCTGATTAGAAAGGCGGAAACCTAAAGATCTGAAAATTTACACCTAATGCCTGCTTAAGCATATTAATATCTTCAGTTTCAAAACTTCAGTCATGACTTCCACCTATCATGTACAGTATGTGATTGAAATAAATAGCTCTTACTCTAAAAGTGAGGCGCATATTCTCAAGACCATAAAATAAAAATCCTTAAATAGTAACTGTGCAGAATGGCCTCGGGATATTGAAGTATCTCTGAGGTAAACCTCTCCCCGGATCTCTACTGGAGTCACTCTGGCATTTTCTTACGCACTCCTGCAGTTGCGTCGTGTGGCGTCGCCATAATAACCCGGCCGGCAGACCTCGCAGTTGGGGCCCTCTGTGTTGTAAAGGCATTTCTTGCACTCCCCCGTGCGGCGGTCGCAGGAGTCGGGGTCGGTGATGTCGATGTTGTTGTGACACTGGCATGGCTGGCAGCGTCCCCCGGGCTGCATGGGGTTGCCGTAGTAACCAGGGGCGCACTCATCGCAACGGGAGCCTGGCAGATTTCAGAGATGGAGTGAAAGAGAAAAACAAGCCTCATCAGTGAGTCAATGTAGGCGAAAATGTGGCAAGCATATCCTGGGTATGCATACTTTACCTGATCTTTTAATGATTCTCTCCTCTGCGAGTGGCAGAGAAGATCAGAGGCATGCTACCCACTAGGCCAGAAAATGAGGCCTAAACAATATGTAGGTTTGGGATTAGTGGGTAAACATTAAAACTCACAAATGCAACAGAAAATAAAAAAAATAATGAAATCACGTTGAGTTTCTTTGTTTTTAGAATGTATCAACACATATTTTAATATGTTTGTGGCATAATGGGTCTCCTACAGGCAGAGAGTAACAATTATTAACCAAATGAATGTAAAACGAATAAAAGCTAACGGTTTTTAAAATCGGTTAACAAAAAGCTAAACAATTAAGGACACAAAAACAAAAGAACCTCCTATTTGTTAAAATCTTGAATAAAACCACCTACATCTCAGGAGGTACTACTCAGTGTTTACACTCTGTTCTTGAGCAGGCACTCTGAAATTACAGTACATGCTTTCCCACAGAGAACAGCATTCCAAAAAATAATTCTTCATAAAATTCTGCAGAAGCTGTCTGATGACAGTCAGTTGGCTTTAAGAGTTGCTTTCTAATCTGGTGACAAAACAGATGGCTTTTTGTTCTTTGACTGATGTGTCTGAACTGTGCTACATAGGCTCAGCCAATAGAGGAATTTAACCGGTCACAAAAAATGGACAGATTTCTGAAATAACTGTGTTTTGTGGCACACATAAATTCAACTACAGTCCAGCTATTTAGGGAACACATTCTGTATTGAGCTCAGAATGAGAAAGCAGGTAAAAACAGGGTTCAAATCCTTGGGATTTGTGTGTTTTCTCTCATGCTGCTATAACACAATGGAATATAGCTGACTTAGCAGCTTGCTACACATAATCAAACTCTCCACAAACTCTGCCAGGCCAAAAGTGGTGTTTGTTTCAATGAATGAAACAGAGGCTACACAAAATGCAGAACAGTTTAAAAGTAATAATTTAATTATGCTGTCTCATGATTTTTATGAACGCTTTCTTAAAATGCTAACCTTCATTAGTCTCATTGAGACTGTGTGTGACATATCCTTTTTGTGACTTAGAAATGATCTGGACAGTCACCTCTGTTACTGATGATACCTCTGTGGGTATCTCTCTTCTAAAGATCTTAATTAAGTCTGTGAGATAGGATGGGGTGGGCTACAGACACCAAAATTAATATTTTAGCTGCTTAGGAAACTGAGTTGCAAAAAACATGAGAAATGCAGAATATTAAAAGCAAGAAAGAGGTGAAAAAGAAACCAGATGATCTGAGTTTAAACACGTAATCCTGCTGCCAGACAACTGGTTTTCGAAATGTCCTGCCTGATAAAAAGCGGGAAACCCAATACTGCTGGTGTAAACTGCTCGATCCTTTTACAAAACAGCAAGCACATTACATCTGCAAAAGCGAAAGCAGCAGAAGGCTCTGGCTGGACCTAAATACATACTGGAGGAACAAAACAAGGTTGTGATTGAAATAGTTTTGCGGTGACTCTGAAATCTGAACACTTCTAATGACAAACCACAGAACAAGGAGAGATTTCCCAAAATTGTGTGTGTGTTTTTTCAAGAACACAGACTGCTTTGTGACTAGGCTTTTGTTTTAGAAACCTCGGTGATAACACGCCCCCCACCCACACAGTCATTGTTCAGTTTGATTGCTCTTTCCCAGTCACTGGTGCTTTTCTCAGCTGTTATTAATATGCAACAGGTGATTGCCTATCCAACAGTGGGCCAGCCCAGGAAAGCCAACGTTAAAAGCACTGTCTGTGCTGGGATATGTGTGTGTGGGAGGGTGGCACAGCACCGCAAGGAACTGAAGCCATGCGGGGGGGTTGTGGGGGGGCGTCACCATTACTCACGCATTAAGATCCCCTCTGAACGCTTAACCATCCCTGTGATGTGTGGAGGGGGAAACAACAACAGTTATTACTCAGTCAGACATCTCACTGTCTCCTCTGTGTGCCTTACCTGCTGGTTTATATTTGTGTAGACTTCACCAAGCAAACACACACACATAATCAAATACATTGACACATGAATAGAATCTGGATGTGTCTTTAAACACACTCTACAACCAAGGTATGGCTTCAGAGACAAAACAGAGACGACTCAACAAAATGTCAAGAAAGTTTAATTGCTTCCTGAAAGCCTCGTTCTAAAAACTAGATCATTGCATGACTTTTAAATTCATATGTTGTTCTATTCTGCTTTTCAAAACACCTTGAATGCACCACTTCAGTACTTTGTCAAGCCTTTGTAGACATTGGGGAATGTTTGACACATGAGGTTGTTCACTATAACAAATGACACTACAGTCAACAGAAAAACACAAGTCAAATAATGTTTCTTCAGTGTATTTGCTTTTTATATCAGAATTAAAATCAATACACTGTGCCATTGTGTTCAATTCCTTGGGCTAGCTTAACAGCTCTTTTGTATTTTTTCTCTCATGCTGCTATTACACAATGGAATAAACCTTAGCAGCTTACTGCACATAACCAAACTGTCCATACTCTCTGCTGGGCCAAAGCTGGAGTATACAGAAAATGCAGGACAGTTACAAATAGGACTTATCTATCATACATGTACACTGCATGATATTATTATTGTACTCTTTCTTGGCTGGGAAAAGTGAGCCTGGTCTTGTCAGCAATAGAGTGTGCGAGCACTGCTCTCTAAGCTTTGTTAACAAACCCAAATGGTTCAAAGTCACTTATAAAGAAATGGCTCTGTGCTCAGAACATTTCACACAATTTGGTTTTCCTGATATTTTCTTTCCAAAAACAATACAAAGGAAAGCTGGAGAACAACACATGACAATTTATTTGGTATATTTCATAGCTATCTTTCATTCATTTACAATTCAGAACTTATAGGTTTCAGTTTCCAGCCCAGTGTCTACAGCTTTCAAAAGGTCCTGTATGAAAGAGTAAATGACTGGTTCTGAGACAGGTCCTGGGCAGTGTCCAGTTTGTGATTGCCGTTACAGATGCATTACAGGTAATCAATGACCAACAATGCATTACTGAAGACATAATTGTTATAAACTGAATAATGTTATCAAGCAGCAAGATAATAACAAGATATTGTTATCTTGTTATCCCATGTTTTGACTCTACTGTATATTGTATGCAGGTTGGGCTGTTACAAAAAAGGAAATTCCAGTGATTTTTAAAAACTTTCAAAATGCAGAAATGTACAGTCGTTTCACTCACTTTTAATTGTATACATCCGGAAACTTACCATACCTTAAGTTTTTCTACAGGGCAAACACAAACTAAAGATTCAGGCTATCTGAAAAGTATTTGAGAAAACTTTAGTACTCTGGCATTATAACAGGAACAACCACTGGTTCAAAACCTAGTCGAATTAAATAATGGAAACTTTTGAACCACTGACCTTGAGCTAGATGCTGTTTAAATTAGGAAACAGATACGTCTGCTACAAACAATGTATTTCAAAGAGATTGTTTTGTCTTCTGTTGGCACAATGTAATAATAGCCTTAGGAAGACAGATCTTACCGGTACAGACAGCGAAGTTTTCACTGACCTGTGTATCCCTGGTTGCAATTGCAGACCACCTGTCTGTTGCGGTTGTCCTGGTAACAGGAAGCGGCAAAGTGTCGCCCACTGGTGGGCCCATCAGGGCAGGGGCAGGGGCGGCACTGCCCTCCAGAGCCCAGCAAGGGGTTCCCATAGTAACCATTAATACATCTGTGGAAAATGACCACTTTATAGCTCGATACTGCCCTTTGAGTCCCAGCAGGAAAAATACGTTCAAATACTGCCAGCTGTCACTTCTGTATGCTTGGTCCGCTCTACAGTGGCTCTACACAGAATGTTTTTAGTCTCCACATATGTTTTTTCTTGATGAACAGATGCGAATAAAATGTAAGAATACGCCACATGGCTTATTCTGTCAGAAAAAGGGCATATCTTATTATGTTGTCATTGTAAAAACAGACAAAGGACTCCACAAAAAAAAGTTTGTTGGTGCAAAAAAAATCAACAGTATGACTTACAGTAAGTATCATTATTTGTATTTGATGTTTCATTAGTCATCCCAAGTCACTTTATATATATGAAAAGTGCTTTACACAGAGTGCAGTAGTAGTAGTAAAAGACCTTATGACAACATAGTATTGTAATTATTAATTTCAATTCTGTGCTGTTCTCCACAGAGAAAGCAGGATTAAATGGTGTGTAATGTAAAAAGGTTTGGTGAAGACTGGGAAGGGACACGTACATTTAGCAGGGCGAATTCCCCCACAGGCCTCACCTCTCACACTTGTCCCCGGAGGTGTTGTCTCGGCAGGCCAAGCACCTGCCAGTCCGCTGCTCGCAGTCCTCCGCGTGCCCGTTACACTGGCACTGCCGGCAGTTGGGGAAGCCCCAGTACCCGGGCTGGCAGCGGTCGCAGCGGGGGCCGAAGGCTCCCGGGCGGCACTGGCACTGCCCGCTGTACTGCTCGCAGAAACGGCTCCGGGAGCCCTCCTGGCTGCACTCGCACGCTGCGGGGGAAAGGGAGGCGGCGGCCCGCGGTGTGATGCGGCGCGAGAAACCGTGGCGCGTGCCCGACCCCGCGGGGCGGCCTTCCGGGAGACTGCCCCAGCAGGTCCGGCAGCACCTCAACTATGGGGCTTACTTCAGGAATTTTAGATTAAAAATAAAAAGCTGCATTTTTAAGTCAAAACCATTAAAGGAACCAAGTCTTCTGGGAGACTGACCCAGCAAGTCTGGAAAAAATCTGAACTACTGTACACGGCTTAAGGAATTTTGGTTAAAAAATTAATTTAAAAAAGCTGCTTTTTTAAGTTAAAAATATTAAAGAAAGCAAGCACAATTATAGTTAACTGTCCCCTATTAATACTTCAGAACCCTCAGAATTACAGAATTATCCAATTTGTACTGTATAGTGCGTATGAGGCCTAATCTACAATAATACAACTCTTCTCCCAGTCTATGACTCAAGACCCCGTTTACCTTTAGAGATCTGCTAAGGAGCATGCAAGTTATCTGCTCTGCACTGACACTCACGCTTGCAGCCTGCTGGCCCGAATCCATAGGTCCCCGGGGCACACTGGTCACATCGGCGGCCTGTGACGTTGGGCTTGCATCGGCACTGCCCTCCTCGCGGGTCGCACTCCGAACTCACAGAGCCCTGGGGGTCACACTGGCATGCTGGAGAGGCGGAGGGAGGGAGACAGGAAGGAGGGGGCAAACAGAGACAGCACGTCAGGCTTCGAGACAATGTGAGGACATAATAGAGAAAACCGCTCAGGACAAAACACGACCACATTCAGTACAGACAAATAGGATATTACAACAATACTACGAAAACAAAGAAAGTACTGATGGTAACTTATTTTTTTTTCCCACAAGATGCTGAAACTGTGGCAGCCACTATTACAAGGTCACTAAAGGATTTATATCTTCTGTCCAAAAATTCTTAATCAATCTCAGAATGCTTTAGGGTTTGATATTTAAAAAAGAACACAAAATCTATTAATGGACTAATGGACGCAAAGCACACACACACAAACACACACACACGGCCAGGGCACTCACGCAGAGCTCCATCATGGATGATGGCAGACATGCTGTTGAGGAGCTTGGCGCAGACGTCACTCAGCTGTGGCCTGACCACGGCCTTTGACGCGTCGTGGCAGTGGTAGCGCTCAAAGCTCTCCTTGCGGCTAATGGCTGCAGGGTCGCCGGCGATGAACATCTCCAGGGAGGAGTAACGAGGTAGCAGGACTATCTGTAGAGAGACGGGGCCGAGGGCAGAGGGCCGAGGGCAAAGAGTGAAACAGAGCACATCGGACTTCCATCCTGCGAGGTGGAACTTGAACTTTTTAAACACCATCACTGCAACAATGATGATAGAGCACGCCAGTGAAAAGTACACAAGAGAGTGGAATGTTGTTTATAATAAATGGCCAGTTGGTTTAGAAGATATTGAGATGAAGTATACATCAGAATAGGAACAATTATTTGTTCTGAGGTTAATTCCACTGTCAGGAAGAAAGAGAAATAGTACAAAATGCAACATTTGGCAGGTGAGCTTTCCTCAGGTGTTTGTGTTTGAATAGCTGTTGTCAGATGTGTGTGGAGCTGATAAGGTGTGTAGGTGTATCAAAGCAAAATGAACCGCTCCAGGGAAGAGGGCAGGGATCTGTATCTCTCTGCGCTGGAGACTCACCGAGTCAATGAGGATGCTGGCGTTGGGGACCTTCTCCCTGGTGAGGTAGCGGCTGAACTCCAGGCGGAGAGTGTAACTCACTCCTCTCTCCAGACAGATAGGCTGGGGCAGCACCACATACCTGTCACAGACCAACCACCACAATCTGTGAGATGCATGTAACCTGTGCCGGCTAGTAACATGACAAACCTGTCTTGCAGCTCATAAACCTCACCTGAGACCTTCTCATCCCTTCACTCCTCAAGGCCCACTGAAGTATCAGGGTCCACATCAAAGATAAAAAGCAAAAACCTGAGAATGAGCAAGCTGTGGCTCTATTTGGAATCGAAAGTACAGTAGTACAAAGCTGCCAGCAGTAATAATCACACATAAACTGCTTATCCTCAGTAAGATACTTTGGCTTGCTTCTGGGAAATAATCAGACCACACTGGGGGAGAAGTTGAGAAAGGCTGGCATGGAGAGTACCATTTAAAGTTGCATCTTATCCTTACTGTTTTTTTTACTTTTTTTGGTAACAGGCACAACTGAAAACCCTGACTCACACAGTCACGTGGGAATGAAAGGCAACAAAAACCTGCCTGCCTGCTCTGATGGTGAGGTAAACTCCATGGAGACACTTATCTGCTGTTGTTCCTGTGGAAAAGTATCTCTAAAAAGCAAAAACGTCCTTCTGTTCTCCAAAATTCAAAGTGACACTAACCGTAAAGACATGTTTCTGCAAACATGCTAAAAGGAGTCATGAGCAATATTCTTTGAAACTCAGTCGAGCATTTTTGTTAGCACAGATCACTAAGGGACTAAAATAGTGTTTGATTTCAATTCATGCTGCATTTTCTATTTTGAATCCCATATATAGAATAACATGTACGATTCCTCCCAGGGAGGAAAATGTTTATGATATGAACTGTGCTTTGGAAAGAGGTCCTTGCAATTCTATCTGCGATTCTTCAAAAGAATGTTCTCTGTTTTCCCCTGTCCTGTTATTGAATGATCGGTTATCATTTAGCCTACTGATGCTATAAAAAAAGAGTAGCTGGCTACAACACAACTAATGCTTGTGCTCCACCTCTTCCCTGGTGCTCCTGGTTGGGCCCTGGCCTTTCCTGTGTGGTCATTGTTGAACCATCTAGTTCTTGCAACCATGGCAACGGGAAAGGTTACAATCTTTGTAAGATTGGAGGCAGCAGTTGATGACACAGGGGCACTGTTATATTTATTATATAACTTTTCACTTACTAATTTAGTCTTTTTAGCATTCCTTTGTGGGATGGGTTGGGAAGGCTGAAAGCTTGTGATTTTGTTAGGGGCGGAGGGGAGGAGTAGCGGTTGGAGAAAAATTCTTTGTTGCTGTGTTAGTATATGTTCTATTTCTCTATTTGCAAAATGTTAATCAATACAAAAGACTGGCGACAAAAAAGAAAGCCGGAAAAAAATGTCTCTTTATGGCAGTTTCAGAAAAACATGGCCACAGTCAATATACTGTATGAAGGCAATGACTGTAATCATGAGAAGGCGCTGCACCTGACCTGGATGCAGAGGGGAGGGAGACGGATAGCAGGTCGTCCGCGGGGATGGTGTTCCCACAGGGGCTGCTGGTGGGGATGGGCCCTGGCCTCACCAGCGTCACTCGCACCTCCTTCCACTCCTTCGGCAGCTGAAACGCACACGATTACAGAATCACCTTCTCCGCCAACACCTGCTTCAGCCGCGGCACCCTGTCCAGAGGTCAGGGGGTTGGAAATAAAAGCTTGCGTACCTTTTCCTCAAGAAACGGAAAGACGGTTTGTTCTTGTTTCGTTTCTGGAGCAACGTAGGGGGAAGTGTTCTGTCTTCATCATAAGATTTGCAAATGGCGAAAGCAGATAAGGGCTGTGCAGTCTAGAGAGATTTCACTGGCATCACCGCGGGCAAGATAGCTGCAATTCTTCCTGCCCTACCTGCCTCAAAGTCAAGTGCAGCCTTCTGGAAGTAATATTCTGTAAGTCACTAGCCTGACGCAGACCTGAGAGAAAAAGTCACCCGTACCTGGGGCTCATACCGGATGAGCATATCGTACTCCATGGAGAAGGGAATGTTGCTGATGTAGAATTCCAGGGTGCTGCCCTCAGGAACCTTGACGAAACCAGTACCAGTCCAGGATGGGGGACGGCCAGGCTGGAGCTCCCTCTCCACCACTGAGCAGCCCTGTTCAAACAGCAGACTCAGGCACACTGGAGCTGCAGCACGCACACACTGCACTGCTCCTCTGTGTTGCCATCCTTGCTGACACTTATGACAGTAACAGAGGTCTGGCAAACGTTACATCCAAGATACGGGACACGTTAGTTATCCTTGGAAGTATCTGACGTGTTACGGAGGCAGACACGCATTCATTTCTCGTTCTTGTTATCTTGCAAAATTATTTTACTCTTCAGTATATGCGAAACGTGAAAAAAGAGGAGACTCTCAGCTACAAAGTCATTGGTTTCTGGTACAATTATTATTTACGTCCAATGAAAAGAAAATCTGATTCTCATTCTGACAAAAGTCCAAATTTTAAGAGAACCTTTTGTCTTTCCCAGTGATTATTAGAAAATACAGAAGTCAGAAAACCATTTATTTAGCTCCGCAAAGAATTAAGGTTTCAGTTAAGAAAGTCAATGGGAGTTCCTCTCCAAAGAAACACGCTGTAGACCACAAAATCTTCTTGGGGCCTCTGTTTGAAGCGTCTCCCTGACAAAAGTGGGTTTACCTGGCCTATGTGTGAAACCTCAGCCTCATAGATGTAGTGGTCCAGAGCCATGAAGTAGAACCCCGACTCCACCTGGGAACACTGGCGACCCGTCATGTGACTGCGACAGCGGCACTGCCCAGTCTCCATGGAGCAGCTGAGGAGAGACCAAGGGGTCGCCTTCAGACTTTCAGCCAATCGTAATGCTGAAGTCATCCAGGAAGTCATGAAGAAGCACCCTCGCTTCTACACAAGGTGCAGATTCACCCATCCAATCGCTAATTTTATAACCACTTTAGCAAGTACAGGGTTGCAGAGGAGCTGGAGTCTATCCCAGCCAACAACGGGTGCAAGGCAGGATACAGGAAGGGACGTCAGTCCACTGCAGGGCAGACACACAGACACAAAAAGGTTTTTGGACTGCTGGAGGAAAGCAGAGCACTCAGAGATCCACGCAAACACGAGGGGAAGATACAAACTCCACACAGATAGCACCCCAAGACCTGACTCCAGGGCCGCATGTGCCACATGCTGCCCAGTGCAGAATCAATTATGTTCAATTTACTGCCGAAAGAAATGAGGATTGTTTTAGATCAAATTGCCTGCAGATACTGTACATAGATTCTCTAAATGAAACCACACTTAACACAGGACATATTCACAGTATGTGACATATTAATAATATAATGTATAGGATCTCTTTGCTTTTCAAGGCTTAAACTTGTAAAAATAGCAAAGCTAATATGAGTAAATCACAAAATCCTGCACAAATCCATTTTTTTAACCATATTCAAACATTGCTTTTTAAATGTATTTCTGTGCTGTGCTATATGCCTTCTTTATATAGAAACAGCACTCCAGTTCACATTACATTTTCTCACTCCTTTTTCAAATTTAAACATACTGCTCAAGTTTCGCATTACTTCAGCAGGGCTCCTTCACATATCTGCAAGATTCATCATTAGATTAAATAGTGTGCAGTGAAAGCCAGCCTCTGTTTATTAGGGGGGGGGGTGTCTTATAGGACTCTCTGTTTAACTTTGTTTATTGGGAGTCTTTCATTAATGGGCATATGGGCATATGTCTGTTTTAGTGGGTGTCTCTTTAATGGGGTCTATCTGTTTACAAGGAACCTCTCATAAAAGGAGTCTGGACTTAATGGTGTTTCTCTGCTTATTGGGAGTCTTTCATTAATGAGCATATCTCTATTTTAGTGGGTGTCTCTTTTTAATGGGGTCTGTTTAGAGGGAACCTCTAATAGGGGTCTCTCTGATTAGAGGCAGTCTGTTCTTAAAGGGGTTCCTCTGTTTATTGGGAGCCTTTCATTAATGGGGTCTCTGTTTAGTGGGCGTTTCAGTTTAGCACAAGCCCCTCTCCTGGCAGGGAACTCTATTTAGCAGGATCACTCACTGGTTGTCAGTGGCTCCACCCACATCGCAGTCACATGCTCGGCAGCCATGAAGGTCATGACTCAGCGCCCAGTGCTCAGGCTAGAAAAAGGAGCAAACAGTTTAGGAACAGCAACCACATTCTACTTTGTCACTTCAACCATTCTTGTTTTCCAAATCCTGTATTCTAAACACCTATGTAAAAAACACTGGCTCTTAGTTAACAAAGAGAAATTGGACTTACGACTTTGAGTGTTTAATAACAAAATTAACCATGGTTTAAGTTTAAAATTACAGTATAAGACCATACAAACTAATTTCAACCTACTGTTAAGTAATTGACCATGTGACAACAGATGTATAATCTCATATTCAAGCAGAATATGAGATTATACAGGTGGGGCTCCCAAATGCTCTGATAAACAGTGTGGCTTTGTATGAGGCTTGTACATAATACTTCAGAAGCCCACTAAGTAAAAGGGGGTTTGTTTAGTTAGCCAGATTGAATTCAATTTAGTTACAGTATGTATTAGTAACTCTAATTACAATTAGCGTGAAAGCAGACTCCAGAGACACAGGACTAAAGCCTTGAACTAAAATTAGATTAAGTTCCCAGTATGGAATGAACTTCCCTGGATAGTGTTACTGGCCCACATAGGAAATGAGGGATTTGCAGAAGGGATTTAGAGAAGCAGATTTTTAAAATGAAGTATTTTCTTTAAAGTAAAAACTACATATAAAATTACCAAGGATCTTCCATGTTTTAAGCTTTAAACCCAATTTTAAACTCAAAGAGGACTGTACAGGTATTTAGTTTTTCAGATTGAAGAAAAGTATTGTTGTTTTCAGGCGGACTGGCACTTTTGACGTGTCCAAAATTCCATGTTGTTTAAACAAAAAATAAAGATAAGGTGTGAAATGCGATTCTTGGCCAGTCGTCGCATTTTCTTTGAATAGCCTTCTGATAACCTCGACCACTTTTCCAGTTTCTCACCCTAAACTATGCAGTGTGAATCAGATGATTCACATCATCAGTCATAAAATGGTCGTGAAGTTCATCAAATAAGAGCAAATTGAAGGAATTATTAGATAAATGAGAGGAGAAACTTATGCTTGTCAGCCTCATTGTAACACTCCAAAGCCCCACTGCAACCTCAGCAGGTGTGCAGGATGAACAGGTCATAGCAAACACCTGTGCCCCACATTACCATTTTAAGAGTAGGTATTCAAAACTGGCATAGAGGCAGCTGGAGCTCCTACCAGACACTGGTTGCAGTTGTGGCCAGTGACCAGACGTTTGCAGTAGCAGTCTCCACTGACAGGGTCACACTGAGCTCCTTCAGACACGGTGCCCCGGGGGTCACACTGACAGGCTGGGGGTCAGACATGGAGAAGCACTCTAAGGTTGAGATTACACTCAAACAGCTCAAACAGGTGCCCTGAAGCACACATCCACTCTATGCTACTAAACATAGACTTCCAACACTCATATTATAGATGTTAGTAAATTCGCAGAAAAATAAAAGCTACTTAATGTTTTGATCACCTGTCTTTTCAAGTTTCTCACTCATTTTTTTTTTCCATAGGAGCTCAACACTAGAAAAAGAACTATAAAGAAGGGCTCCTTGACTGATATTAAAATGGACTTCCATCTAAATTCACACAGATGTGATCATTAGTTTCTGTTAACAGAACGAGTAAGTAAGAATACCAAGCTTTGAGAAACAAAACCAAGATCAGCACTAATTTGTTTGTGCCTGGTTTATTTAAGCCCTACACATACTGTACACAGCTGTCTATATTTTTCTAAGAATATGGGAAAAGCCTGTGCTGAGAAAAAATCATGATTATGTATAAAATGTCTACAGTGCTCCATTTCTTATAAAACAACCCATTATGTACAGAATCACATAAAACAGCAAAGATGGGAATTCAGGAGTTCGTGCAGGCAATAAACAGTATGTGACCTTTTACATTTTCTACCAAGAGGTAAGTGTTTATTTTGGTGATGTGAAGGCGATGTCAGCCTGGCATTATGAAAAAGAACCTGTCAATCTTCCGGAGTCATGTATTGTGTTTTTAATCATTCGTGACCAACTCACATCGAGACCTTCTTTTGACTTTGATATGGTAATTGACTGCGTTTGCTATTTCGATTTTATTTTTTGTGCATATTAAACTCCCCTACTGTAAAATTAGTGCACTGATCAGTATCTGTGTGAGATGTCTGGGTCCACTTAGCAAATAAATAATAATTTGGCCTTGGAATAGCAGCAAGGTTTGCGGCAAGCCATAGAATTACAGTAAGTGTTTGGAAAGATTGTAATAATAATCTTTCTCTGGCCTTGAGCTGAGAATAAAGTCCCGCAAGTTCATCTCCTCTGAGGCAACTCCTTAGGAATGTTGCTGAGACTGGACTCTGATAAACAGGATTGACTTATCACCCTTTTGCAAGTATCCTGACTGATGAATTCATATTTTTCTCTTGTATTGGTTTATCCGGCATGCTTGATTATTGTATTAATAAAATTCTATAATATAATCTCTGAATGCATGTGTGTGCTGTACAGTGCTCTCTGTCCTGATTGATTAATTCCTAATAGCCATAAGGTATTACTGCTCCAAACCCCTGAATCGCTACAGCAGCTCTGCCTGTGCCCCTGCAATGTCCCTTACTCACGCTGGCAGCCCTGCGCGTTGTCGGCGCTCAGTCCGAAGAAGCCTGGCTTGCACTTGTCACAGCGCGGCCCCTCCACGTGGTCCTTGCAGCGGCACTGGCCAGCGATCATGCCCAGGGCTGAGTCGTCGTGCCCGTCACAGATCCCCCCATTCAGAGAGCCATCTGGGTCGCAGTCGCAGGCTGTGGACGGGAAGAGCCTCCGTGACACACTGGCGCTCACCAGGGAGAGACACTGGCGTGGCACCAATTGTTTTCTTGCACTGATGGTGCAAAACAAATTAATGCCAAGTGCAACCAACCAATCAACCAATCAAAGTTTATTTATCAAACGCACAACGATACAGCGTGCAGCAGTAGTTGCTGGCAATTAAATGTCTTCGTAGTACCAACAAAAACAAGGCATTCCTTGTACTTTTTTGAACTGGAGAATGTCATTTGCAAGACGAAAAAAGAATTAGTAGAAACTCAGCTAGGAAGATTTTGCAAAGCAAGACATACTGAAGATTTCCAGCTTTTTTCGTATTAAAGGGAAACTGCAACGCTATTTTTATATTGTTGGGTTAGAAAAAAACAGCCTTGATGAGTGCATTTCAAACTGCAATTAAAGTAAAATGCATACAGTAACTTGTAAAACCTCTAATTTACACCACATAATAGACAAAATGTCCAGGTACGAGCAGTACCATGTTCTGCGATTCAGAACGAGGCAACCACACTTCGGATGATGTGTGCGGCCCTATGACATGGTAAACAAGCAGGCTTGTGAATACATCTCTTTTAATCCGCTAGAAATATTGCTTTCGATTTTGAGGCGGTAACAAATACTACTTACGTGTTAACTCTGCATGCAGATCACGTTGGAACATTTCTGCAACGAAGCGTCTGCTGCACGGCCTGTATTTATTCGCTCGTACATCGCATTACATTAGTCATTACAGAAACTAGTGAGCAGGAAGGGCCACATTGTGTCGTAATTCGCGAGAGCTCGAATATAAGTTTGTGGCAGCATGGCAGTTCTTTCACAAAGATCCCGATTTTGTGCTTAACTCGAAATGTGTATATTTTTTCGAATAACCAGTCTGAGAAATTGGGACTGCAGTTCCCCTTTAAGGCTTACAGAACTAGACAGAGTAGGGGAGTTTGTGTAAGGACACTGACCCGAGGGAGGCTCATCTCCTTCACTTACCCACACAGACGCCGGGGTCTCTGATGTCCCGGGAGGGGTCCTGGTAGTAGAAGGGTTTGCACATCTCGCAGTTGCGGCCCATGGTGCTGTGGAGGCAGTCGTCACAAACGCCTCCGCTCACATTCCCTGTGGCCTGGTACACCGCCATGTCAAAGTGACAACGGCTGGAGTGACCGTTGCAGTTGCATTCTAAAAAGCGACAAGAGCACACGCTTAGACCTGCCTGGCTTGTGGCCACACTTCACCTTTAATGTTTTGAGCTGCTTTACAAATACAGAACAACGGAAGATTACTTTCCAAGACCTCAACATTATAATTTCACAAAAAAAAGCTGATGACAACATTACTCGGTTCAGGCTCAATGTCTTAGGAATGTTGTTGACACTAGACACTGAGAAACAGGATTATTGGTATCTCTTGTAATCACTGGGTGATTATCAGCCTTTTGTATGTATTCTTACGGATCCATTCATACTGTATATTCTGTAAAGGATGGAAAATCAGAAAGTACAATCTGGTTGGGGTGTTGCATTAATATCATATTATATTAAAACAAAAGGACAAATAGCTTTTCTTTAATTCTCCTAACTACTACCCAAAAAATTATAATGTGTCCGCATTTCATTGACTAGTCTTATTCTGAGGCTCATGTTTTATTTCTGAAGAGATCTATTTAGGAATATAGAAAAATGTTATTGGAAAGGGCAAACTGACATATTTCTAGCAAAATTTTCTAAGTTTCTTCAGCTTCAGAAAATCCCATCCGAGTAAAGCAACATTCACTCGAGATACAGTTTCCACTAGAGATGTTGAACTTCCTGATGCTTTAGCTGTTGTTGGATTAGCTTGGAAGCTGCTTGACTTCTCATCCGTGTTGGACCCTGAACACAACCCTGGAAACAAAGGCCTTATTCATCAATATAAATAAAATACTGCCTGCCAGGCTAAGCCATCCAGGGCCCTTTTGGATAATGGAGAAGAAATGTTCAAGAAAGTACTACAGGAACTTTCAAATTTCTACCCCGAAACGGGGGTGTGACACCTCAGAGTTCTACGGTGCTGTTTTCTTAAGGGGAAGCATAAAGGTCAAACGTCACAGTGGCGGTCCAGACTCACTCTCACAGGCGTTGGTGTTCCGGCCCTCAGCAGGCCTCCAGGGCCGGTCGTTGTAGAAGTCTTCACACTGTTCGCAGTTCAGGCCCTTCGTGTTGTGCTTGCAGACACACCTGCCATGTACCTTGGAAACACATTCCACAAGAATCGATTGCGGTTCCCCCCCAAACATTTCCGAATTGCCTTCCTTGCCTTTATTACCACCAGCTCTTATTATTTTGCTGTTTATTTTGTTTTATTCTAACAATCCAGATTGCAGAAGAGTAACCTGGTTCTTATGCCATTCCTATATTGAAAATCAGATGTTACCATGCAGCATATACTGTATGTATCTCATGTCAACACCAGTACTAGAGTTTTCTGGATAATTTCTGTAAGTCAATGTCAGACCCGCCCCCTTCCAGTGAACAGAATCACAGGGACACCTTCAACAAGTGCTCTCCACAAAACCCACAGGATTCCACAATAATACTCATTTTCACTCAGTTATACTCATATATAATTTAGAGGGAAAGAAAGCAAGACTCTAACTGCACAGCAGTTTCCTATACTAGAGCTTTTACAACCTAAAAACTGCAGGGTTTTGCTTTTACATGAACTCCCAATGTGATTTTATGCACATTTACTCCAAAACACTAAACTTCAAATACCCAACACCTGGTACTAGTTAACAACAGAGCGTGCAGCTTATAAAATCAGAATGGGCTCAGACTGCTATACCAGGGGTGCCTTGTTGTTTGTGATGTGTCATTTGGATCTGGATTAATCTATGTGCACAGCACAGGGCCTTCACATGCAGAGCGCCACACTGCCCTCACCATGCCCTCGATGTCATCCCTGATGCCATCGATGGGGGCACACTCGGAGGCGTGGCCATAGCAGAAGCAGTTGCCCCGGACCACCAGCTCATATATGGCGTAGTAATACTTCTCCTTGATCTCCACGCGCGAGTCCAGCAGGTTGTCTCCCAGCGTGTGCAGCTTGGTAAAGTTCACACGCAGGTTGGTGATCTTCAGCTGGTCTGGAGGGAGCGGAGGGGAAAAGGAGATTAGACCTGAGAAGGTGCCTTGGCGCCCTCCTCGCATGGAACACAAGAAGTCGGGCAGCCCATTTCCACAGGGGTGACACTCGGAACCCACACGGCTGGGAGGTTAGAAGACTGAGCTCATTGCAAGTTGCCTACCAGCTCATGAAATGTTTCCCCTTTGCATGATGCATGATGCCAAAATGTTAATTTCTAAACTTGGTCAAGTGTTTCAAATATCTTAGATATCCCCGTTTAATGTATCAAATTTGAACTGTCCCTATTGCCTTATCGTCAAATCCGGAGATACCCGCTAAACGTCAATCGCTGAGTTTCCTGCTTGAGGGAAGCACCCAAAATGAGACCGCAGGCAGAAGGAACTGGCAGCCACCCAAACATAACAGGCCCAAAGTTTAACTATACATGGGGAAGGTAGCAGAGCCAGGCAGAACAAAACAGATGTGAGCATCACGAGGGAAGAAACATAAACAGAGTGGCTTGGCTACTGTTTGTTTGTTAAGACTTTAAATATGGACGTAATCTAAATACCAGAGCATACAGTAGTTCTGTCACAGTCCATCTATTCTCCATACATTATTCAGAAAAGTTATGTGAATTGTAATATCAAGATAATTATGAAAAAATAGATACTCTCTCTGAAATATGAGCTTTGACAACCTGAATATCCCACTTTATGGCCAATTATATTAAACATGCCCTTGCTATTTGGAAGGATATTATACAAAGATTATCATGAGAACATCATCAAATGCTCTCATGCTCTCAATTAAAAGCAATAAATGTTAAATTTGGGCTTTTAAAAAGCTGTTACATATAAACACAGGCATTTAAATCTGTGTACAGTATATATAAAAGGCAAGTAGTATGCATTGTATACAGTACAGTGTATGCAGTATATTGTATAAAAGGAGAGAACACAATTTAGAACGATAAAAATTCCAATGCACTCAAATAATACAAACATTTAAAAATAAATAAGAAGATGACAAACTTCAGATGAAAGATATTACAGAATATTAAAGACTCTTCAAACACCACTATCATTACAAATTAATCAGAGCAACTTTGCACTTGTCATTTTATGAGATCGATTTCAGGACCTTGACAAGACAGAAAACAAGTGTATATTCCAGGTTATCTAGGGCTTGTAAAATAGATATAATATTAAGTTCTCTGAAATGTCTTGATGTCTTCAAGCAGCCAGTCACACAGACAAAAAATAAATAAAATGAATTATTTGGTCATCATGCTAGCTTTTATGTTTTGTCACACTTAAACCCATAGGTTATTATCCGTGTTATGATTCCCCCACAATAAATGCCTTACAAATGAGACCCACAGTTACAGTATGTCTGAAATGGACCCAGTGGAAAATGAGAGTATTTACTCCTCGTGTGGGTAGACCATAAAGAAAGTATAAAAAAACAATAAAACAATAACATTAAATATATCGACACGCCTTTTCTTATCTCCCCACATCCTTTCTCATAGGCTAGACTGTTTCCCCACGGCAGCGAGTGAAGGAAATACAATTCATTTCCTTCACATAAGGAAGTTTCACTTAAGTCTTGCTAAAACAATAAGACAGGAATGGAGACAGTGGAACAAAGCTACTGTACTTACATACAGCCATAGCAGAACTAAAGTTATCAGGCAGAGTTTATTGATAGAAGCTGAAGGGTGAAACCTAACAATGGATCTGTTCATTATCCTTTGCCACCTTAAAACTCATCTTTTCATATTGCACCTGAGAGTGGTACACCCTGTCTACACTGACTCCCACAATTCATCATCAGAGCTGCATTTGATCTTGCTGTTCACCAGCTGTGTTATTCATTCTGTGCCTTGTAATAAATGACTTACATCAATAGCTAATGATATAACAAGATATTATTATAGGGCTCTATCTCAGCAACTATGTAACTGAGTTTAACTAGGTTGCAGTTGCCTATGGAAAATGTGATGGTTCATCATATAAATTATAATATGATTATTGTACAGTACATGCTGTATGTGACTCTGGGTAAAGATGTCTGCAAAAATGTAAACAAAATCACACAGACAAACTACATATCTGGAACTGTACTATATGTCAGACCATAATTAATTAAAAATCCATGTAACAAGAAATGGAGGTAGTGTAAATAAAAAGAAATCCATCCTAAATGTAATCTCCACATACAGTATCTCTACATTTCTCCTGGCTCGAATGGTACAGCTGGAAACTCAATTATTGCCTTTCTTCAAGACGACAATTTTTTTTAATGTTCTGCAGCCACCAATGTACACTAAGCAAGCAGATTCCATTTATTTTATCCAACCATCAAACTCTGCTGTAGCATATGAAATAAAATCTTACTCCAGCATGTACTGCAAACTCAGTTTTAACCTGCACAGGATACTGAAATTCAGCTCTCGTTTTTCAATTTTTCTAGGTAAAATGTGTTTCTTATCAGAACTTTCACTGCCTGTTTGTTAGAGTTTAAGGTAAACTACTGATAGACACAAAGAGAAATTAGTAAATAAGTTTGCACTTCTTCTTGGAAAAGAAACCAAAACAATTAAACAATTTCTACAATTGCAGCTAAATGTGAGTCCCATTTTCTAAAACAAGTGTAATGTTTCAATGCTTAAACAATTTTTCAGTTTTGTGTTAAGTTAAAACATAGATGGCAACTTTATTAAAGAAGATAAACAGTTCTTCTGACCACAGAATGCCCAATAAGATCTGTGTTTGTTTCTCCCAATGATGCAATGCAAACCAACACCCCCCTCACTGATTCAGACTGTACTTACTCTGAATGTTAGGGCTGTAGGGGTCTTTTATCGGGATGGATGGATCTAAAACCCTGTAAATCACCTTGAAGAAAAAGAGAACAGATTTTCTCATTAGAAGGGAGCGCAGTGAAAACGTACTAGGCAGTGCTTCCACACAGAAACAATAAAGTTTAAAGATGAGACCAGGGCGTGCAGTTCAGCAGAGCTCTCCACATCCTTACCGCCGATTTAACTCTGTCGAAAGGCCATATTTAATTTTCAGACACCTATCTATATCTGTGCTGCTCACCTCTCCCTCAGTAGAAGGTTCGATGTCTGAGTACCTTGACTCGCAGATCACGTCATCCACCTTGCGCTGGGGACCATGGGAGATGCCAGGGAAGACGCTAGCACAGTCATAGGCAAAGTAGCGGTACACCTGCCAGGTGCGCCCAAAATCAGCCGAGCGTTCGATCAGCATGGCCGCAGGGCGAAACGTCTGTCGAAAAAAAGAATGGCCAGGATTCACAATATTTCTGCTTCAACTGTTGCCGTTTTCCAATATTGTCTTTGCTATAAAATATATATATTATTGTACAGCACCATGACACATAGTATAAGAAGACCTATAGGTGTCGTGTGTAGCACTTTATTCATATATGGTCACTGAAAAGAAACAGTGAGAGACGCTGATTTGAAAATGTATCCTTCATCACATCAACAGTTTATTACTCCTAAACAATGAAATAACAGAGCAATAGCAGCATCCTTTCCTCTTTCTGGGAAATGGTGTCAGGACAGATAGGCAGATCTCTGCATTGGCAGATCTAAATTCTCCAGAACGAGGTGCAGGAACAAGATTTGGGGTGACTGGAGCAAAGACTCACCTTAAAGGTCATGATGAGGTGAGTGAAGTGGAATTCAGCCTCCAGGTCCAGCTGGACACTGACTTCAGACTTACCTAAAACCACAAACCAGACATGAGAATGTCAGCCTGCTTTTAAAGCTTTAATTAGCATTATTAACTGAATCACAATGGGGAAGCCATCTGGTGATCCCTTTTGCTCTAAGGACTGTTATCATTTCTTTCATAAAGTAAAGATCATATTCTGACATCAAAGATTACTTGGCTTAATTTCCCTACTCCCACACCATGACTATCACACATTTCATCCACTGGGCACATGAGCTACTGATGGCATCCATCCACAGCTAAATGTTTGCATAGACAATCATGAATATTCTGCACTGTTCTATACTGTAGCATATTTGAGTGAGCTTCTCCTCATCCCACTGTCCAAAGCTGTAGACAGAATGAATTTATGAGTTCCAGAGAACATGCACTTACTGTGCTCATTACAATTTACAGCATGATTCTACAGTATGTCGTGTTCATGTTGAAATGACGTTTAATAACTATGCTGCCGGCTATGGGATCAGTTAAGACTTATGATCCATCGTAAGTAAATACTTTAAAAAATGAAATGTCTGTCTATTAAGATTTGCCTGGAAGGCATCCTCAAACGGGAATGTAATTCATCTGATAAGATCTTGCCACCCATCATCTGAGGACAGGAGATACTGCACTGAATATACTGTAATCACTAAATTTCTCAATCTATGGTCACATTAGTCAAAGTAGGAACTGTAGGGATGACTGCTGGTTCACCCACAAATTTGTTGGATTATACATTTTAGCATCACTGGTATTATTCAGTAACAAAAGACAGGGAATAAAATTGAAACAGCATTTACAAAAATCTACAGCTTTTATAATGAGCCATGAACTGTGGTTAACCTGTGCTCATGCGGGACCAGAAAACAGGAAGGAAATGTGGGCTTTTTTTTGGAAGTCAGGCCCATGAATGGCGCTATTTTTCCACTGGTTGCTCCTTTATAAGTCCCCGTGTTCCTAAAAGCAGAGTCATTACGTTCCGAAGCTCCCCGACAGAGAGACAATGATCGGATTGATCGCTCGGGGCAGCCCTGCCATTCTTGGCACCTCGTCCCGGCAGCGCCCCTCCAGCCCGGAGAGGCCAGGGAAACGGCGGAATCTCACAAGGACAAGGCCGGCATTGACAGAGCGGCAGAAGCTTCTGCAAACAAACCCCACCGCGACAGCTGCCCACAAGGGCACAGCGTGGTGGCATTCGGAACAAGAGCCTTGAGGTCACAAGCTCTGAAAGCCTTTTTTGTAGCTGGCCAGCAGATCCTTTTGGAAATCACTTAAATCAAACAGTCAATAAAAGTGGCTATTTCCAGTGCACTGACCTTTATAATGTTCAGTACAGTTCATCGCAATGTGAAGGGCTTTAGCATGGGTATAACTGTACATCTTTAGTCCCTGTTTGAATGTGGGATTCATGATGAGTACCATTAAAACTGACAATGCCAACCATATTACACTGTATTAAATATACAGGGGGGTGAAATCAATATGTTTAAATTATCTTTCCCTCTGTGATCTTCCGTGCAATAGACTGGTGTTCAACTTTGGGCAATGTAATGAACTGGTGTTCTATATGGTGCCCTTTGATAGACTGGTGTTCTACCTGGTGCCCTTTGATCAACTGGTGTTCTACCATGTGCCCTGTGATAAACTGGTGTTCTACCATGTTTCCTGTGATAAACTGGTGCTCTACCTGGTGCCGTGATAGACTGGTGCTCTACCAATCGCTTTTGATCAACTGGTTCTTCCATGTGCCCTGTGAAAAACTTGTATTCTACCAAATTCTCACAGAATCACCTTGTATACTTTTAAGAAAGACGGTGAGTTGCTGCTTTTATCCAGTACAAGTAGCTTTCGAATAAGAAATGGATGGATTTAGAGAAAAAATGCACCGTCGTGAGCAATAAAAAATCAAGCAAATCTTTTTGCTTTAATGTCACAGTTTTGTATTTTTTTCTCATCTGAACATGAACGATGTTAAACAAAGTACTGTACATGGAAAGGGCAAGATCCCAAATAAATATGCCACAGTGAGACATTGGAATATTTCTCTATGGGCGTCTTTCAGATGAGATATCTGTTAGAAACCTTGTATACCTGCAATGCTGTCACTGCATTCATGTTCAGTGCAATTCAAAGACGCCTTTTTTAAGGTTGTGCTTAATGCTGAAATGAAGCCTAGTCTGTAATTAATAACATCTGTGTTAGCTCAGCAGCATGAGTAATTGACGACATGGTGCATTTCTGTTCAATACAAGGGACAGTGCCTTTGAAGTGAATCCAAGGGCTTTTAATAGTGGGCTGTTGTAGTTCGCAGCTCAAGAACAGCAGTGAAGAGCTGTCAGGGGCCAGACAGGCTCCAAACTTACTGAGCTCTCCAGCTCCTAAAGAAAATCCTCTCATCCCCTGTCTCATCAGTTTTTTATTTAGAATCACCAATTATTTCTGTTATATCCACGCAATTTGTGTGTTTTTTTATGCTTACAGTAATAGTCCTCACCACTGTGCACAGAAGAGAACTAGGAAGTATGGAACGATTCTTCTGACTAACTTCTACCACTAAAAAAACTACCACCATCTTTTGATACATCACAGGTACCACCACACTGTACTGGGGGCGCAGATTGGATGGGACAAGAACAACATCCCTCACCAGCAGCACTACATGCATGCAAATGCCCAGGAGGCCACCAGTGGTCACTGTATTTCTAAGAGCCAAGGGGACATTGACTGATTATTCTCACCTTACCTTTGGTGGTGTTCAGCCAACTGTGTGCCAATGCACACAGTTGGTTAATGATACAGCCCAGGCTCAAACGCATAATCACAAAGCACCTTTATTGGTTGAGCCACTCCAGTTTCCTAACTTCGCTGTGCTTCCTATTTCTTTGTCAATGTACCGAAAATCCCTTGAAAATCTCTTGAAATCAACTAAATATGAATTTACTGTAATGATTAAACAATACACTGAAATGTTTTTGAAACATGGTTTGGAACTGTCCCTTTGAAAGACTAGAGTATTTTATTCAATTTAACTCTTTTAGATTATTATCTATTTTCTGTCTACTAAAATTAAGATATTTTGCTGTTTTTTTAGATTCTGTACAACATTGAATCAAATCTGGGAAAGAGATTTACTGTATTACTATTGACAAACTCATTACAATGTCAGTGGAAATACACACGAATAATGAGGCAGCAAATGTAAAAACGTCAGACTCGAAGGGAATTCTAACTCTGCCCCTGAAAGCTTAGACACGAGGCTTTTTAACGTGAGAAATCCTCAAGCATTTCATTGGCAACAGGTGTGAAGAGCCGCACAAACCAAAATTGCTGACCATTCTCAGACTGCCACCAGGACTTCTTGCGATGTGGCTTGAAGGTGGTGATGACATTCTCAATGCGGTGACTGATAGTGTTGTATACGGGGTCATAGGGTCGCCTTGAGTCACAATGGAAACACTTCTTCTCATCCTAAAGACACAAGACAACAACATGACAATCTATAGGTAAAACCTTTGCCAATGCTTTTAACTTCTAGATATACAAATCTGTTTTTGCTAATTATAATTCATACTATATATAGTCCATACAGTATATGGTAGTGTTTTTGCTCATGGTTGTAACAGGCCCCTTCCAAATGTCTTGTGAAGGAACACTTATTGCGAGTATAAAGTTGGTGTTTAGGATTCCTCTCAACGTAAATCAAATTGTCAGTGTTTTAGTCCCCCTAATTTCATGGTTATTGTGAGATGTGAATGAACACAGGATTAAGCAGTGACCGCATCAATGGATCGAGGAAATTATTTTTAAAAAATGCATAATTATGTTTAGTATAAACAGACAGTAGTCCCTTAAGCTTTACTATCCAATCTTACAGTCAATAAACTTGTGTAAATTTCCAAGCAAAATGAAAAAGAAGATTAAACAAAATATTGGAAATCAAAATACTGTAATTATGTAGATACTTTGTGGTAACTTTCATGTCAAAATGTCAACAGCAAGTGGAAGTCTCACTTCTCCAGGGTAACTTCTACTGTGATGTTTAACTAGAGCTGTTGCCTAGGTGACGTGAGGCCCAGTGAACCTGCCTGTAGGTGGCTGACAATGCAGTAGGGCTCTTTCCTCCGCAGGCCACAGGTGGATGAGGCCTTGAGATTCTTCTCCCTGCCCACCAGCAGGTCCCCAGTGGCTGGGTAACAGCTGCCATGGCTGCAGCCATGGGCCAGGTCAGGCTCCTGGGCAAGACAGCTGGCCAGGGCTGAAACAAAAAAAGAACCATTACCTCCAAGGTCCCGGAAGATAGACTGAATTGTTGTGCTTACCATGAAATAGGAAATGAGTGTATTTCAGGATTATGTGAAACTGCTAAGTAAATCACAAGCCAGATACTGTAACCTTCTAGTTTCAAATCATGGAGATAAATTAGGTGGTCTGAAACATTGTTTTCCTTTAATAAAGAGAATAATGCTATAGTTTTTTATAATATATATTATAATATAGTATATTCAATATATATACATTATATAGTATAGCATAATTTACAAATTGTTAATAAACTTGTTTGAATGTTTGAATGAACTTTCAAGACAGACAAGTTCAATGGTTAAAAAAACAAATGTTAGAAATCTATAACAACATACAGTAATAAGGTGTAATGTAAAGGGTAGCAGAACATACTCATTCTTTCTATACTGCATTCCTATTGCAAACCAATGGGATTGTTTCGATGCAACTATGCAACTCAAATTCATAACCAGCCACAACTGAAACAAATTAGCTTGATACAGTACAGAAATCATTCACAAACAAAAAAAAAGCAGCTTTCAGTTAGGCAGATAATGGTTACGTGCCCTATTGAGGGGAAATGATGAACTCTGACCTCGTTTCCATAATGTTCTATAAATCATGCTCACTTCTCTCTTTTTGCAATTGATAACCATCTTTCCTGCTCAGAAACACTGGGAGTTGAGGTACTAAACAAATAGCAAATCTTTATTTCATTAGATAAATCAAATGAGAAAAAAATATTTACAATGTTGACCCTGAGAGTATCTATTTATACAGTTTGCCGTGTTGATTGGACAATGAAGCACTTTGCTCAAGGGCACGACAGCAGTTCCTCAACTTGGATTCAAACTCACAACTGGCCAGTAACAGGGCCAGAGCCAGAGCCATTCTTCCCCAATTCTCTGCAATGCAGAGAGATGGAGTGCCTTAAGATGATACTAACATTTAAGACTTTCTTCTCAATTATGTTTCTTAAATATTACAAGGTAGCCACAATAGAAACATAACTTTTTACATTTTTTTAAAGAATAACAGGGCCAAGAGATGAAGAGGAAAGAAATGAAAAATGAAATTCAGGAAAAGAAGAAAAAAAAAAGCACACAAGTGCAGTCACAGCTGTATCAGGATTTACCATAAATAAGTTCACAGTGTAATTATAATTAATGGTTTTAATATAATTAATGGTTTAAACTTATATACTTAAGTAAATGATAAACACCCATTGCCATCAGTTCCTCTTGAAAAAGCCCTTAATTATGGTCCCAGTTCAATTAAATTGAATCTGAGATCAGATCTATAGACACAGGAAGACCACATTCAACACTAAAAAAACAGTTAAAATTCAAAGCAAATGATACTGAAAGAGACACTCTCAAGTAAAAAGGCTAAAATTCTTACTTTATTACTGGCAGATTTGAATTAACCATCCCTGAGTTTTAACAACTGCAGAAAAACAAAAAAACTCCAGTTTACAAAACTACATATTTAGACTTGTTTCATGATGTTTCATGATCTAGAAAGTCCAAAGCTTCATCACAGAACAGGCACAAAGCCTACTGTAATTTGTATATTAAAATATTAAATATTAGAAAATATCTTGAGTGACCATGAAATCAGTTATGAATCGTTGAATAAAATGACACCGAAAATATTTAATCAATATCGTTTATTTTTCTCAAAACATATGATAAGTTTCTTTTGATGCTCAGCATACTATTGCAACCTCTACAGAATACAGGCATTCAACACTGAAAGTTTCTGACAAACACACCATTGTGGTTTGCAGAAAAATACAATACAGACATTGCCCTTACAGTTGACAAGAGACGGCAGATCCTTATTTTCTCAGCAGCTTACTGCCTTAGAGAGATTAGCAATGCCGCAGCCTGAGTGTTTTAAAATAAACTTTTATGGTGCTAGGGGGATGTTAAGCATTCCAGTCTACATCCTGAAATACATTTCTTTAAAGGGTCTGGGGCGTTTAGCAGTCTAGCAGGGTTAGAAGGCAGGGGATGGTAAGGGAGATATCTTGTTAACATAGTTCCTGACAGTAACAGGTGCTCCTCACGTTGAACCTGCTGGAACAAGTCTGAAATAGGAAAGAGGAACAAAAAAGGTCTAGCTGTTCTGGTTCCTAAGTGATTCAGCCAGCGAAGGTGTTCTCTCAGAGTGCTGGCTGAACCTAGGCCAATCCTGAAGAGGATTCTTCAAACAATGGCACAGGATTGGCCTAATGCAAACTTGGATGGCCATTAGTCCTCCGGGGTTTCCTGCAGGTTTCAGAGCAACAATGATTTCTGGGAGCAGCCTGGAACTTGCATGGTGGCAGAGATGTCTGCGAGAGCGTTGCTCATTCAGTCAGGACTAGAGTAGGTCTACTGCAAGACTCTGAAGACTCAGCAGCATGTGATGAAGGGATCTCACAGAGTGTATTGAAGGAATGTTTCTTATTCTCCTACTGCAGGAAAGACATTGAGGCATGAAGCCATATGTTGCATGAAACAACTTAATGCCAAATAAGATCTGCATTAAACAGAATAATAAAAAAGAAAGGGGGGGCAGTGATTTGCACTGTCTCATGGCACTGGGCCCTGGGTTCAATTCCAGACTTAAGTTGCTCTCTGTGTAGAGTTTGTGCGTTCTCCTTGTGTTTGCATAGGTTTTCCCATTGTCCAAAGATATAGTAGTAGGTTAATTAACTTCAGGGAAAATTGGCCCTGGTATGAGTGTGTGCCTGTCAGTGTTTTTTGGTCTGTCTGCCCTGTAATGGACTGGCGTCTCATGCAACCCTGAATTGGCAGAAGTGGTTAGAACACAGATGGATGGATAAAAAACAACCAATATGCTAGCTGTATTTTAGAAACAGCCATAAACGTTCTACTCTCCAGAATTTTTATATTGAGCCTTTTGAGTTGCTAAAATCTAAAGTCCTGCCTGTGACCCTTTTCACACAAAGTTCGCTGAATTGTCCAACATTAATCTGAAAATTTTGAAAATGCAACTCAGCTGACCACTGCACATCCTCCCAGATTTGCTTTCTTTATCACGAGTATTCTGGAATTCAAAGGGCACAGCACAGACACCAACCAGAAGGAGAACAAACCACCGGCACTGACAAACCACCGTCACTGACAAATGAAAAGCTGCTGGTGCACAGCCAAGTCATAACCCACCCAACCCAGAACACGCCCACCTCCCTCACCCCTGTGGCCCTCAGACTAATTCTGAGCTTCCACCAGAGCCTGAGAGGCAACTGGTGAAGGGCAAAGTCTGGACTGGAATCCGATCTCCTTCAGTAGCAAACTCATTCTGCACAAAAGAAAGAAACGTTCAGCCAGGTGACTTAACAAGAATCCCTGAGCACAACAATCTTTTGCTTTCTATTGTGAAGTTGCCACATTCTATGAAAAACTCACCAATGCAGGTCTTCACCCAATCTTTTCCCAGATCTTTACCCAATCTAAAGTAAAAGGATGTTCAATCTGGATAATCGGAAGCAAGCAGGATAGCTCAATAGAAGAAAGGACTCCTGAGAGAATTTCTGAAACCTTTCCATGAGTTCTCCAAAGGGAAAGCTCACAGTATAACCAGTCTTACATTTAAGAGCGTATTAGGCTTTCAGCTCAAATCCTCTGCTCATTTCACATTTAAGCATATTGTATTTGATGTGCCTTGCACTCTTACGCAGACTGTGGTTCGCTTTCACACAAAACAAAACTGAAGACATATAATGCTCTTTGTGTTGCTGACCTGGTACCTGTGTCTGTACCCTGACCTGCCGGTCGAGTCCGAAAGCAAATAAAAAACCTGTCTTCACTTGCCTTCTTTTCTTAGCTATCAAGATAGACAGCCCTTTTCTTCCTTTTCGGTTCTGCTAGTCAAAAGATCAAATAAAGAAAGGAAAGTCAACAATGAAGACTTCCTCTGGCATTCCACTGAGTAAAAAGAACAAGGGAAAAGGCACTTATCCCGAAACAATAGAAGATCTTCTAAGAAACATTTACCAGCTTTGCTCTCCGTTAATTTCCCCCTTGTTACTAACGATTAAATGAGAATAATTAAGCAGACCAAATTTTATGGTTTTCAGAAAGTCAATTTAAAGGAAACAAAAAATACAACAACTCTACACTACATCAATCACAGCTCAATTGTCCGTGATTACACGTCTCAGAGGAGCATGACTCTTCAGGGCAGTTTCACCCAATAAATTACAGTGCAGGGAAATTGTTTTAAGATAGATTCACAAAAGACTTGCCAGTCAGTTCTAATGGTCTTTTGATTGCTCATATGGATAAAGTACATACAATCTAATACAGTATGTGAATGTTAGTTCTCATACACAGATAAACTATCAGTTCTGCAATAATATTATCTTGGTTTCCCTCCTGTTTAGAGCATACTTCCTTGGCATTTTCGGTTCAGTCCAAATTACTATAATGACAGTGCAATCAGGAATCTTGTTCAACGATTATTACTAATTGCTGTGGCTTCTCTGTACAATAAGTGCTAAAAAAATAAAGTAAGTTACTGTAAATGGCCTGAGTTGTGCAGAAGGCATGTAAATCTCTTCCTTCCTTAAGATTAGGCTCCGCTTTAGGCACACCAGGTCTTTGGAACACTTTCTTTGAGACAAAAATGAAACACGATGCAACATGATATCTATTATTATAGCTGCTACTTAGCCAATCAAGGCTGCAATTCGGGCCTGCACAGTGTGCTGCGTTGTTACTGTATATCCGGTTTCTCTTCTTCTTTAGAGATGGCACACCAACTCTAAACCTACAGCTACTCTTATCAAGTTCCTTTCCAAAGACATTGTTCTTTTAACTAGCTGATAAAGAGAAATATAAAACAAATACCCCCCCCCCCATAGCACACACACACATCATAGTGGAATGTCCAAGGAAAAACTGTTTATCAGATTTTTTAAATAAATGTGGGTGTTGCAACAGTATTGTCTTATTTTCCAGC